TGATTAGATACTATTTTACTATGTACAGATTGAGTATTGAAACTATAGTGTACACTCCTTAGTATCATTCGTTTTTAAAAATAACTTACATAGGTTGATATAAAATTGAACACGCAGTAGAATATGTATAAAACGGATATAATCGTATAGGTACAATTTCAGAAGTAATATTTTATAAATGTAATTGCTTTTAAAACACAGTATATCGTAATAATTGGTATAAGTATTGTAAATTTATAAAGATATTTAAATATAACTTTTGAAATTATACGCAAGGCCGGCGTTATGCAATTTTGTCAGGGGGGGGGGGGGGTTAGATCAAGTATTGCCGACTGAAATCTAATTTATGCCGACTCATAATTTCTAAAAAAAAAAACTACCTGAAATATAAAAATTCCTGGTTTTGCTGTGTTAAGGTGAAGTAAAATAGTTAAAACAAAAATAAAATATAGAACTAAAAAATTTTAAACCATTTTATGCATAGTTAAAATATTTGTTACTTGTATTTCATACAGATGTAAAGACAAGGCTGTCGGAATTATTTTAAGATCTAAAAAATAAGTCGTGTACGAATATAAATCAATCAGTGTTTGTCAATACCTCAAAAAATTAAGTAAATAATAAGAATTTTTTTAATTTAGTAGACGACAGATGGCAGTACCCATCATATTTAACAAAAAATATTACGAGATTACCTGAAGTATAAAATATAAATATTGTATTTCACTTTTATTTATTATGTGTTATAAACAAATTTAATAATTAATATTTTGTAAAAAAAACGTTTATTACACTGCCATGTTACACGTGTAATTACTTATTAATTAATTAACTTATTATAAATTGAAAATTTAAAAGCTAATAAAATAAAAAAAATATTCATAACAATTAAATAGTCATAAATAATTGAGTAAAATATAAATAATCATACATATTATTAACTCATAAAAAAATATATATATATATAAACCTATTTAAAATACCTACTTCCTACAAAATGTATACAATTATACGGCGTTCTTTTAAAGTTGCCCAAATTTTTTATCTTTGTACTCATGTTTATACTGTCGAGCATATCTTTAGTAGTGTTGAGTATAAGTAAGTTGTTCAAACGCAGGCATGGTTGTTCTTAAATGATTTTTATCAACTTAAGAACACAATACCCTTTCGTTAGACGCAGCAGAAACTGGTGATGTGAATGCAAGTCTACATAAATAATTAGCTGTTAGTATAACAGCTTTTAGTTTATTACTTATATCTATAATTTCATTCAGTGTTTTACAATCATCTGTTTTTTGTCTCAATATATTAACTTCACACAAACTTCCATCATAATCGCTTACTTTTGACATATCAGAACTAGGAGGAAATAACGTAAAAGCGTTTTTTATATCTTCAGTTATATATTATAGCAGGAATGGGCAACTGGCGGCCCGCGTACCTTTTTTATCTGGCCCACGCTATATTTTCAAATTACTTCATATAATTTTAGCGCTTATCTGTATTTTATTTTATTTTATAACATTTTTCGATAAAATGTGGATATAAATTCTTATATAGTTTTAAACCGAAACTAAATTTTAGTAATATTTGTTTGAATATAATATTTGTTGAAAATAAATTAATACATTTTCCGTGTTGTGAAGTTATAAAACAAGAATTTGATAATGAATTTAAATTTGAACATTGCATTACCCACATTGACGAATTAATTGTAGAGTTCAAAAGACGATTTGAAGAAGTTGAACTTATGCGTCCTCAAATAAATTATATTTATTTATTAATAATCCTATGTCAGTTGAAATTGAAAAGCAAGATCCTTCACTTCAATTAGAATTATGTGAATTACAAACAGATCCGTTTTAATCTGCAAAAGAGATTGATGTGTCATTTTGGAAAACATTATCAGTTGAAAAATATCCAATTCTAAGAGATTTCGCATTAAAAATGTTTTCTATGTTTGGAACCACATACATATGCGAATGTACATTTTCGAACTTGAAACATATTAAATCGAAGGAAAGAAATCGTTTAACAGATGAAACCTTGGGACATTTACTAAGAGTTTCAACTACAGAAATAGAAGTGGATTTTACTAAATTGTCTATTGAAAAACCTCATCCTCAAGTATCACATTAAATAATAATTATAAATATAAATAAATAAAGATAAAAAAGAAATATTAGTAAATTTGAAGGACCTTTTTTTTTTTGCTTTCTCCTATGCAGTGCGGCCCGCTAGTTACTTTGAGTTGCCTATCCCTGTATTATAGTATTATAATACGGGTCCATATTCCTTAGCCGACAATATCAGTCGGCAGTATTTTTTAGATTTCTAAATCGGTAAATTCTCAACTGCCGACTGCCGGGACCCGTTCCTATATTAAATATATATATATATATATTTTTTTCAAAAAGTATAATTTCCAACGGACAACAGCTCCCTGAAATTGCCGACTGATAATTACAAAACATTCAATAGGAGGGGGGGGGGGGGTGACGACCCACCATACCATGTTTCTTCTGTCATATATTTTTAAATTCATATATTTATAATTTATCACTTTATCAATACTTTTTCGTCGACGTTTCTATTTCATCTACTCGTAATATTTGATCAAATATTGTTTGATTGATTAATTGTTCGCAGACGCATATTTTTCCTAAAAGTACGTTTCGAGGGTGGCTGATTAGATTAATTTTATTTATAAAAAGTAAACACGTTGTCTACACCGAAAAATTTCCGATAGTACGTCAATGATTCCATTAACGACACTAACAAATTTCATCGCATTGACTTCTGTCAATCGATGTTTGTTAATAATAATATTTTAGTCATTAAGTCATAGGCGGAAATCGTAGGGGGGCTTGAGGGAACTAAGCCCCCCGAAAATGCGAAGTACAGGTCTTAGCCCCCTAGCCCTAAAAATTGTTAAGTGACTAAAAATACAATAATTATTATAATTGTAAAATGCATTTTTAATAACTGAATTAAAAAAAAATATTTCTGTGATAATAATTAAATCAAATTCGTAAGATTTTACAAACTTATTATTATGACTTGGAACGATCATAATTAATTAATATTAATAATATGTAATAATACCTGCATTGGTTGTTTAATTTAATTAATTAATAATTTCTGTTTAGAATACCTACTCCAAAAATGTTTAAGATAAGGCACCTAATTGTTTTTTTGGTTAAATTGTTGAGTATGTCAAATTGTCAAACTTTGTAAATTGTTTTGTTGAAATAAATAATTGCGAACAGGGGTACCTATAGGTGTAATAAGCAAATAATTCTCAGCCCCCCCCACTAATTTCACCAAATTTCCGCTTATTCATTAAGTATTATGTAGTTCTGCCGCCTGTGTATGTGTGACTATTCGTGATCTGTGTCAATGCTTCGTCTTTTCATACTATTTTAAAATTAAAATACTGAAAGATAAACAATTTTTGAAAAGTCTGTTAAAGATTTATTTAGTTGAATTTAGTGTTGATGTGTTTTCCACTGACGGTAAAGTCATGTACTGTAATTATTGTGATGTTAAAATAGAATAAAAAAACGATTTAAGGTAATGTAAAATTTAAATGATTTATATGATATTATATAATTATTTTTTAAATAAATTACTTAAAAAAAAATATAAGAACATATTTATAGTGCATATTATAAAATTTATCAGTACATAAGCGCTTGTATATTTAGTGCTTTTTTAGAGCTAAAAGTCCTCTGGCTTATTAACGAGTATATGATATGAAAAATATTAGTTTTAACATATTTAGGAAAAGTTTTAATAAATATGATATTGGAAGTAAAATTAGAGCTGAGCTGAATAGTTTTCCAAACATTCCACATGATTATTGATTGACATTTAATATAGTTTTTATTTAATCGTTTATCGCACAGAGAAAGTAGGTTGGTAAAATATCTATTAATTTATAATTAAAGTTAATAGAGTTATTGACTGCCTCGGTATTTATAATATTTATCTATACGTACGTGCGGATTCTCTGTATGGGAATTTTAAAAATGTCTTTTAGTCTAACGAGTCCATATATACATTGAACTTATACATTTTATTTATTGGTGACCTATTTTTATACAACTAACTTATTGTTAATATTACCAGTGTGTTTAAAACATAATTGTTAAGTTCAATGAAAATGTCAAATAAAAAATTATTCATTTACTTAATTACGTGTACAACGAAACACGAATTAAAATTAACTGCATTTTTAGACTCATGAACAGTGGGTTATTAAAGAATCTTATAAGTGATCTATTTCTATTTTATAATAATTTTGAAAAATGCGTATAGTTTAATATATCTGTCAAATTTGATGTCAAGCACATCATATAATATATTCATTATAATTCGTAAATATATAAAATTATAATTTTGTGTGTTGTGAGTTTTATTAATACTGAAGGCATAATATAATGATTATAAAATATATTTCATAAATATGTATATAAAATATATCAATATAAATTATAGATTATATGATTTAACGTTTTTAAATGATATATTCATTCCGATAAGCTTATAGTAAATATTATGAGTTATGAAGTTATTGATTTAATTAAAAAATAATTTTGAGAGGAGGTTTCAAGATGCGTTATTATCCCCATTCAATAATATAATTAATTCGTTTCAAATTTTAAATTTAACTCTTTCATTAAAAAACAATTTATAATTACTATAAGATATTTGATCTATAAAATAACTGAAAAAATATACATATGTATATATATAATTTATAATGTATTGTGAGTATTGTGTATAATCGATCATAATTGTATTTTGGTAGAAATGATAGTCAAACATTAAAAATTAGAGGGACCGAAACGTTTTGAAAAAAAAAATTACTTAAATTATATAGATTTTATTTGATTAGTTGACTTAGAAGTTTTTAAAGATTTAGGTAGTTTGATCAAATTATTAAATCTGAAAAATGTGTATTATTAACTGATGTATTTTTTTTTAATTTTGTATAGACATGAGTTGTAACTTGAGGTCGACCAAGCACATTACCGATGGACAGTGTATGACCTCCAAACCCATAGTAGAAGCAGTGTGCGCTGATCGTTGTCTGGTGTTGGCTTCATCTCAGCCATTCAGCAATACAAGACAACGAATTCCATCGTCTAACCAACAAGTATTTCTTATTTTTACCTAAATATATATGTTATTTATGTGAGTTTAAATATAAATCATACGAGGGGAGACTTTCGCTGCAGACTCATTTGTAAAAATTATGCGGACCAATTCTGCAAAAATTTGAACTTCGTAGTAGTGTGTAGTGAAATATTATACTCTTAAGGAATTTAGTAAAATATGAGTGCAGGGGCAGCGTAGATTCAGTGGGTCAGTTTTGTCTTAATTTTGACCCCCCTCCTCCTCTATTCATATGAAACGTATAAGTTCTAGTTACTTAAACGATTCATTTTTGTTTGATCGTAATAACATTAAATAACGTGCACCTTTCGTTGCAGGTGGAAGCTTTGCACTGCGTCGACGGCGACGTGAAGCTGAAACGTGTGCAGCTCCTTTGCCGGGATGGTAACAAGGTGAACAACGTCGTCAAAGTGGTAACCAACTGCCGGTGTACGTTGCATCAAATCCAACCGCAAATGAGGAGCAATGCTTCTCCAATCAGGCAGATGGCTACTGTCGATCCGGAAATCATGCAGATCGCTGCCGCCGGTAAATTCTGATTCCAGTCGTGACGCCGAAATTTATATATTATTTTATAACTGTTCTTGTTATTATTTATTATTATTATTATTATTATTATTATTATTATTTATTATTTATGATAACGTTTGTTCTATCAATATAAATACTGTGCGTGTACTTTAATAACCACCAAGTTCCTGTTTGAAAAACGAATTTACCGTTGTCTCCGCAGCATTCTTGTAAAAATACTTGACAATTTTTTTGTTTAAATACAGGTGAAATGCTATCGTTTTTAATAATAATATTTTTTTAAACTCTCGTAGAAAAAAATGTATGGGCACATCACATACAAGTGTGCTCGACGTAGTTATATTTAAGCGTTAAGCACTCAAAAACTTTCTATGCTTTTCTTTTGTACCTGTAGAAAATAATCGGAAAAAAATATTTTACTGCCATGAAGTTTACATTAATTGTTTGATAGTATATAGCTTATTAAGAAATTAACTAGGTTTAATTTTCTTAAAACCTCATCAATATTTATGAACATTTGAATAACGAATGTATATTTAAAAATTACAATTTTTTTAATTTTAAATAAGCACTTATAAGTGATGTACCCATAGTTATTAAAACTAATTTCGAATATACTCTTAACCATAGTTAATTAATAATTATTTAAGCATATAGGTTACTTAAATACCTCGTCGAATAGCTGTATTAATGTAATAATGTGTATCTGATATACTTGATCGATTTCGATTGAATTATTTCGTGTCCCTAACACACGCGTTGTTATGCTTATGTAATACCTAAATTATTTCCCAAACTGCAGTATCAGATAGGCATAACCGTAACACGTAGTTGTATCCTAGCTAGTGGCGTATATAGAGGGGGGGCCAGGCCCGGACTCATAGTGACATTTTAGATTCAATTAAAAAATTTTACGCATATTGCTAAATTATATAATTATAAATTTATATGATACTAAGGCCCGTATCTATTATTATTGTTGTTGTTCTATGATAGTATGTTGTTTTTGAGGTATAAAATTTACGTTACTGATTGGTACCATGGTCCATGATTGCAATGACCAATTAAAATACGAATTAACTATGAAAGGACACGATAAATAAAGCTGTGTATTTACATCATGTCGGGCCTCGCATTGATGACGTTTCATCGTTACACACCTCTAAATGTTGAAGTATTGTTATTATTTTTATTAAAAAAAATAGAAAAATGAATTTTACATAATATTAAGTCAAAAACATTTGAAGTCTACCTACTATAGAAAAATACTTAATTTATTATGTATCTTATTTAATAATAAATATATATTAATACATTTAAATTTCTATATTCGTATCATTTATATCATAATTAAAACCACTCTGTCTCTAAAAAATGTCTAGTTGTACCTATGGTGGGGATAAATTGGTCCATAGTAAGAATAATTCCTATATACGCCACTGATCCTAGCATACGTTTTTATTAATTTTTCGTTGGCCTGTAATGTGGTTAATGCTTCTACACGGTAGAATGTATGTATGTTGGTCGTATGTTGGAGAATTCCATGACGAAAATCTAATGCTAACCCGTAAATCATAATCGTCAGCTGGGTCGTTACTTGTTATAGTATAAAATCGTGCGGATTAACAAAGCGCGAGACTAATTAGTGATTTTTGAACAGATGGCATCTGTAATACGTTTTGTATTGGAAATTTTAACGCCTATCGTGTTACATTATAAGGTAACTCAAAATGTCTTCTATTCAAACTTGCCTAAAAATAAAGATATCATCGTGTCCCCGACGAATATATTAAACATTACGATAATTAATTGATTATTCAAAAATATTTTTTTTTGTGCGACTTAAACAGTGATGTAAAAATAAATGTGGGTAATTTTTATTTTACGCCTTCTACGTCGCATAGCTTGAGAATCACTGACCTATAGCAGTGGCGTATTTAAACAAGGGTCCAGGCCACCAAAGTATCTAAGTTGTGAGGAGAGAGATGGGGCACAATACCAATACAATTACAAAAAAAAAAAAAATATAAATACAATAAATATTTAATTAATTAAAATTTTTTTTTTTTTTATTGAAAATAATTAGATATAAAAAAATATGCACAGCAGTGGCGTTTATCATTTTACATACGTAATTAGAATTTGATATACTATTATTTTTATTAGCTCTTTGAATCATTATTTAACGATTAATATTTTTATAAGAACTTAATTTCTATGTAAAATGGGCCTCGATTTCTTATAGGCCCTAGATTCAAGGGTCATTAAGTTTTACGCAACGCTATTGCTAACAAGGTTATTTTGATAAACTCGATATCACATTACTATTAAGAGGAAGTCATATCCGCATGTATTGTCTCCGTCTTGCAACATAGTAAATCTAAGTTCAGTAGAACCTATTTCGTGTTTTCAGCTTTAATATTTAACTGACCGGATATAAAAATTAAAGTAAAAACATTATTTAAACGGTGATACAGGTTTTTTTTTTGATATTTAAATTTTTATACGAGTGATGATTGTGTAAAATATTACAATTAAAAAATAATCATAAGACGATTTTTCCTTATCTCTATATACCCGGTTTTACTGTATTTGTACCTATATATACACTTGTAGCGTATTTACGTTTAATATTTTATTCTAACATGTAAAAATGTATTTGGTTATACTGCCATTAATTTATCATTTATTTAATCAATAAAATAATTTTCAGAACAGAAAACAATAAACACATTAATAATAAACGTAATAATAATAATAATAATATCGTAGCAGTATGTATTATTAATAATATTATTGTAAATATAATGCACCTAAACATATAAATATATATAAATATAAACATTGAGTAGAAAAAAAATAAAACCGCAATCGGGGAACGTAATATGACAGATGATGGTTATTTTGGAATTTCGTCCATTGTCGTTTACCGATAGTGCGCGGTGGTTATTTTGAGTCCCGTGGCCTGTGCGCCGATCGAGGATATCTGACAGATGTTGCACACCTTGCCCCTGTGCGCGGGCTGATATGAGGCCGAGCAGAACGGGCACTTGACCTCCTCCTTGCCCTTGTAGATGGGCACGAACGAGTAGGCACATATGGAGAAAGGGTTGTGCTGGTCGTACGCCACCTGCACCTTGTTCACCGGGTTCAGGTCGCACGCCTGCAGCATCTTACGCGCCTGTTGTGCCACGTCGGCCCGCGGGCCCAGCTCCAGCAGCCGTTTGGCAAACGACGCGGCCGTGTTCAGGTTGCCGATCTTGTAGAATATGTTGATGGCCGTGCGCAGCGTGAGGATCTTGTGTGTCATCTGCAGGTCGCAGTGCGTGAAGTACGCGACCATCTCGGCGATCCGCTTCTGGTCGTCGGCCGTGGTCTTCGGGTACTCCTTCCGGGCCGTCTCCATTACCAGCCCGACCAGGTACTCCTTGCATATATGCACCAGCTGCGTCACCTCGGATACCTCTTGTTTCGTGTCAACGCACAGTAGCGGCACGGACAGCAGGATCGACCGGAACTTGGCGATCGTTTCTGGGAACTTGCCGGCGGTCGTCAGCTGGTAGCACGCTTGCAGCTCGCCGAGCAGCTGTTCCAGTTTCACGTCCAACACGGGTTTGTTGTTGCCGCCGCCCGTCTCTTTCCAGTTCCGGTTCGGGTACACGAACAGTGACGGATGGGTGGGCAACGGCGTGTACGACGTGCACGATTTCAGATACGAGTCCATGAAAAGACTTTTCAGCGGTTGGAAATTGGTGACACCTATCTGTTCGTTGAGCAGCTTGAACGCCGTCTCGAAGTTGCCAGATTTCACGTGGTCCACCACCAGTTGGCTGTTGGCCGACCAGACGAGCGTCGGACTCGCGCCTACTTGCGGCGCGACGAAATAATCCGCGTCTGGTTTCGACGCTTGCACCTCCAACGGCAATTCCACTTCTTCGTCCCCGACGTCCCAACCTTCTTCTCCGTCGACCAACGACGCCGATGCAGCCGCAGCTGATGCGGCTTCTTCTTCGGCTTCGGAACGTGTCGGCGATATACGGCCTTCTAGACCTAAATCGGCCTCGGCTCCCCAACCTTCTTCTTCTACGTCTTCGCCGAGTGCTGTGTCGATAAGACCCGACGCTTTGCCGGCTGACAATATGGCACCTTCAAAGAAACCTTTGGACACCGTTAACAGCGGCCAGTTCGATTCTGCTTGGCTTACGGGCGCAGGCGGTTTCAGTAACATAGCGTTCGGACTGATCGTTGGTAGGTTGCCCTCGTATTCTTCTTTGATGGATTCCGCTTCGGTGTCTAAACCGTGCGTCGCAGCTGTTAGGTAAGCCAGTGATTTGTGCCCGAGTTCGTTCAATATTTTGATCCTTTCGTGGCAGTCTCCGAGAAGAAGAGCACCTTGATAATGACCCGATACATCTTTACGAATTTCAGCGATTTTCATCATTTTTCTTAATTTGTCTAGATTACCGGTGATGAGATATAAAAACGATAACTTATCAAAGTTTTTCGTCCGTTGATAACACATTTCAACTACCTGATGGTTGCCTTGAAGTAATGCGGCCTGACCCAATTGTTCCCAACACGTTTTGTCATCTAAAGTTCTAGCCGCTTCTAAAGCAATATCTATATTACCACATTCTAGAGCTAAAGAAAATCTTGTTTTATTATCTTTTACAAAATGCAAAGCTACTTCCGGATATCCTTTTTGCTGTAAATATGCTATTATGGATTGTCCAATTAATCGATCATTTCTCACAATGTGTAAGACTTCCTCATATTTGCGTTTGATAAGTGCCAATTTAAATTTGTATTCAGTTACATCAATATTTAATACTCGTGGTCGACATTCCCTATCTAAGCAGAAAACTTGATTGCCACCGACCTTAGTAATGTAAATGGGAAGATCTAATGTTCGTATAATTCCATAATCTCCTCCATCTGGCAAAGCATATTTAATATGGTTACTTGTAGTATATATAAATGCACCACAATCATCCCATGCACCTGATTTGATTCTTGAATTTTCATGGATAGTACACAAAATTTCTAGTTTTCTGCTGCATATGTAAATATTATGTTTACATAAAACAGCCAATAATGATCCATCATTTGCCCACATCACATAACGACATTTGGCTATTTTGGCTTGGGCTAATACTCTTTTTTGAGTGACGTCAAACAATGTCAAGTTTTCAGGATCTCGAAGTAACAATAAACCTGTGCCAGCATAGAAAATCTCATCAATGTTATTTGGTCCAATATTTTTTTTTGTTAACTCGTTTTTTAAATTTTTCACAGCCAACATGTGTGTTTTATCGAGCACAGCAAACCGATTCCTGGCTATCCATACAGCCATTAAGCCACTGGATCGTTTACTGTCAGGTGCTTCAACAACATTACTGTCAGCAGATTCTTTAGGCATTTGATATAGATCATAAGTACTGTTTTCAATGTTTGAATTTCTAGTGCACACAATCATTGCATTTATAGCTGGATTATAACTGATACTGTATACAGGTGTACGTCCACCACCTCTCAGTTGCATGACTGTGTTCACTTTATGTGTAGTAAAATCAAGGCGATGCAAAAAGCGTTCTTTTACATAGTATAAGAAATTGCCAAACTGCGTAAATGCTGGTCTCTCGCGTTCCAACTTAAATATAACCATACCCGAATCATGTCCAGCTGCAAATAAGTTGGAGGTGGGATGTGCAGCAAGTACCCAAAATCGTTCATGTTCGCGTCTAAATGTATTGAGACATGTTCTCTTAGTCATATCCCAAACACGAATACTTTTGTCTTCTGAATTTGAAAGAATAAGCTCTTGCTTTGGATGGAATACAACACAAGACACATTATTGTAATGACCACGACAAGTGTCTACTTCCCATGCTTTAGAATCATTCATTCTCCACAATTTGATTTGACGGTCATCAGCACCAGAAACGATAAGTGGCATAGTAGGATGGAATGAACACCAATTAACACCGCGGTCATGGCCTTCAAGAACATGTTTAACAACAGCATCAGCTTGGCCAAATAAATCTGTAGCATTTGGGTTCTTTAAGTGATCATCTAGTCCACCAGGACCAGGAGCAACATTTTTTTTGCGTAGGCCAGAAATGTCCCAAACACGAACAGTCTGATCCAAAGATGCTGAAACTACTAAATCTTCAGATGGGTGGAATTGAGCACACATTACATAATGATTATGACCTGAAAAATAATAATACAATATTTGTATTTATTATACTTATCCAGTGGAGTATATTTATATTAATTAAATATTATGATATAGCTATATTTATATTAAATTTCAATAAACTTAAATTTAAATTTAAAATTTAAATAATTACATTTTTAGATATAAGTTATATAATTATTATTATAAATGAAAAAAAATGATAGAATAACATTTTAGGTTTATTTTGAATAATTAATTACCGGTAAGAACACAAATACAAGCACGGCTTTGCCAGTTCCAAATTCTAATTGTTTGATCATCTGATGCACTTAATATCCAAGGGTATTCATGATGAAACATTGTAGAACGAATGTAATCCAAATGGCCAAGTAATGTAAAGATGCATCGCCGTTGAGTATAATTCCATACTTTAATTTTGTAATCATCTCCACCTGATACAAATATAGGTTGCTGGCTATGGAAACTGATCCCACGTACTGGACCATCATGCTCATCAAATTTATCCAACAAAGTACACATGCGATAGTCCCATAATTGGATAACACCAGTATGGAGACTGGCTAATATCCATGGTCGCTTTGAATGAAATGTCAGGCCCTTTATACGGGCCGATTTAGTTTCAAATTTTGTCAACATATTTATAAATCACCTAAAATAAAAAATAATCAGTTGTCTTGCATGTTTAAAATATACATTTTTTTACAAACAAAATATTATTTTTAATAATAATTTCATTCATGACAATAAAGTTACAATTTTTAATGATAATATTTTAATTGAAATCTTGAAAATTAAGTACAACTATTAAGAATAATTATTTTTAATAGTTAATAAGTTTTCTTATAAATTCTAGTACATAATAATTTATAATTTTTGATAAAGTTAGTACGAAATATTTGATTCAAATAGAATATATTAAATTGTTAGTACATATTAGATAAGTTAGGTGGATAGATTATTTAATATTCTATATTGATTATTATAGACTTTGTAACATATTAATTTTAAAATAAAAGGTCTAAAACAATCAGAATCTTAAGAAAATAAAAAAAATAATTGAACTGAATGGGTAATTATTTCATTTGAATCAATCAATTCAATTGTTATACGAATATAAATACAGGCATTACTAGTTATAAGTTTCAAATATTTAATAATTATCACAATTTCAAGCGACAAGTAATTTAAATATATGTAATGTAGTTATTGAAATCTTTAAGCAGTCTTTAGGCGTACAATTATTTAATTCAAAGAAAATTTATAAAACAATAAATTTACTGCAAGTGGTGGATCCAAAAGTAACTTAATTGCAAATGAATATATTTAATCAAGTGTTTAATTAATCGAGTCTCATTAAAAAAATAAAAATAAAAAATTTTAATAATTTCTATGATGGAAAACACTGCACACACCCAAATGCTGGAAAGTGCTCACATTTGGTCATTGGGTGGCTAATTGGGATATAAGATAGAAATTGAATAGCATTGAGACTTGGAAACGTTATTCAGACATAGATGAAGTATAAATAGTAAGTACTTACTTTATAACTTCTTTAATATCGTAAAAAACTCATGATAAATGTAAACTGAAGGAAATCTCGATTTACTGAAATCAGCGAAATCTTCCAATTTATGTAACTTGTTTACGTGTATGTTGCTGATAGCCGACCGGTCGACTATAGCTATACCGTAACCGTGGTATACGTTTTTTTATCTGATAATATCTGTTCGCTCGTTAAAATATACATTAACCGGGCATAGATGGTTGAATTTCAAATTATTACAATTGGAAATACTTGACATTTGTTAATTGTTATTATTTATTGTTTAATCCATTCACGTAATATAAATTGTTTTCATGCTGTATCTGAAATTCGATTCTTCGGGTGTGTTCAGTCAATTATTAAATTAGATTCGATTAGATGTAGTGTTTAAATAACATAGTTACAATATATTTGAACATTTAACAATGGATGATTTTCTGCGAACGATAACTTCAGATTTTGGAGATATAGCTAGAAGCATCGGGTTCAGGTTCAATCAATACAGTGAACCAGTGGACTGGGATAGTTTAGGTAGTCATTTTGTTTAAAATCGTTTTTTTTCGAGTTGTATATTTTTGGAATTACATAATTAAATCTATTGAAATTTAATTATATCGCTTAACTATTGTACAATATTTCAAATCATTTTTGTGAATTGGTTCATGTAGATAGATTTGTTGTTGATGATATTGTTGAGAATGCTGATGTACAGTCTTTGTCAATGCTTGTAGCTAGTGTTCTCAGTTATAATATTGAAAAAATGAGTGTGTCGAAGAAAATATTTCGTCTATCACAGTTGATTATTGACTTTTTATTGCATTATAAAAAAAATTCAATTTTTAAGTTACTCAATAAAGTAAGTTTATCATATTTTTCTTAAATAATTAATGAAATATCCATTAACTTTGTGCTTATTAATTATCTAGGTAGATTCAATGGCACTCTGTGAGTTGTGTGGTAAGATGTTCATAGATGTTAACTACTTGAAATATCATTGTTTTAGACGGCATAAAGATAACTCATGTAATTTCATAAGTTCACCCAAAGATGAATACAATGAAAGTTTAAAATCAGAAATTGTTCAACTTCAAACACAGTTGAATGCATATAAGTCAACTTTTCACAGTAGATTACATGTAAAATAAATTTATGAATTGTAGTTTTTTATTATTTGTCTTAATTATTTAAAATAAAAAAAAATTCATACTATGATTTCAGAATTCTAATACATGCCAAGAATATCAGAGTTGTAATGTTGTTCATAAAAATATATTATCATACCATGTAAGTTACTAGTAGTCTTAAAACCGTACCAATCAATTAATTTGAATAACATTTTTAGTTGATTTCTCAACCAGGCGATAATCCTATGCAGACCCAAGAGATGTTTTGGAAACAAAAGTATGATAGCCTAGAAGAAAATTATAATAGCCTTAAATGTGAATATGATAAAAATCAAAATACTAGCAAAACTGGTAAATTAGGAGTTTTTTTGTTCCTTTTCTTAAACATTTTTATGAAATATAATATTATATAATAATATTTCAGTTTTTTTCTATATATATCACATAAAAAAATATTTTTAAAATTAATTTTTGAATAATTTATTATTGTAGTTAATATATAATATGTTTTAGCTGTAAACCATAGATATCAACAGTGTGATTTATATAAGACTGAACAATTATCAAAATATGTACAAACTGATGCTATAGTTGAAAGTGAAAACATTGTACATTCTCCTAAACGTCCACCACGAAATATTGATGTTATACAATGTAATGAGAATAATGGAAACTGCAGTATGGCAGATGCAGATATAAACCACTATAGTTTAGAATTAAAACCACACAATTATGATGTAAAGTTGGATAAAGATTTCTATGAGTTAAAGAAACTAAGACTCGAAGCCCGTATGAATATAAATGAAAACAATATTTGTGAAGATCATTCTGAGACATCTTCTGATTATGTAAACAGTTTAAATATTATATTAATACTTGGTCAGACTCAAATAAATGAATTATTTAAAAATGATACTCTACTGGATTTAATAAAATTTGATGTTAAAGAAGTAGTTAATAAAAGGTTGGAAGAATTTTTTAATTTTATAGATGAAAATGTTGAGGAAGATAATATTTTACTTGAAAAGGTAGTAACAATTAAAATTAAATATTAAAAGATTAGAATAATAAATATAATTGTTTGCTTTTAAGAGATTTTATGAAAATCAAGAAACTTGGAAAGACTATAATACAGAACAACATAATTCTCCAAAAAATGATGGAGATAAAATGTCGATTAAAAAAAATAAAACAGTTATGTCAAAATTAAAAAAGAAAGCGTTGCGCTTTAGCAAAATCTTTTCTCCAGGTATTATATATTTATCAATTATTTTAATTGTAAGATGTTAATTACACACACAATGTGCATGTTATAATATTATTATTTTTTTAGATTCAAAAAACCAATAAAATATAATTGAAGCTATTCATTTAACAAAACTCTGGATTTTTTTTATTTATATTATAAACCAAATATATATATATATAATGATTATAATTGGTTGACTAAGATAATATTATTCATGTTTTATTTTACTAAAAATTTCCACTACTGAAAATAATTTAGTTGTTAATAAAATATTTATATTTTTCTATTTTTTTTAATTTTTAATAACTGAACTTATTTGTGTACCAAAATTTACATATTTAGAAGAAAAAAAAAATTATTGAAATTGTCTTTTTATTATTATTTTTGAATAACATACACATTATGATTATATAGAAGTGTTTGAGAAGTTTGAAAAATTACTAAATACTTGAATACAAATTGTGATAATGGATGATTGGATGAATAATTGAATTATACATTGTAATTTAGTTAAATTTTTAATACATTTTGTTAATTATTTTTTGACATATTTTTTAAAAATATAACTTTTATCTTGTATTTGAACACTATTTTTTTTGTTATTGCCCTTCTCTTGTTACTTATTTTTGATAAAATAAAATAAAATATAATTTGATTATTTCATTGTAAATCAGGAAATTATTTTAATTACAAGGAAGTTTCAGATTTGAGGGCCTAAGCCTGAACGTTCACCCATCTCTATTAGAGATGATGTGTCAGTCCGGATGAGAGAAACACATGAACAATGAACACAAGTATCCAGCTCTGTATGTAAATGATGCTCGATCAATGCTGGGCTGCAGATCCCTGTATCAAATTCTAATTACAGTTTAACTTCATAATAACACTATTCAAGGGACTTATGTGAATATTGTTATAAGCAGAAAAATTCACTAATTGTAAGGGTTCATTAAAATAGAAATTAAAGTAGAAATGTATTAATAGTATAAATGTAATAAAATAATTCTGTTGTATTTGTAAAAATGATTACCTACCTTATATAATATAATTTATAATTATGAATTATGGTTATAGTATTTGTTAATTCAACTTATTAGGTTTTATGTTATGGGCATAAATATATTTATACTCAGTATAGGGCAGAATGGCTAAGTGAGCAAAATATATTTAGTGCAGAATCATGCATTTACCATGCCTATACCATCTAACACTTATAGATAATGAGTCTTATGTTTTTGTATTTCTGCCCCATTTTATTTCATCAATAATTTATTGAATGCACATTATATATGACAAGGTGTTAAGATCTTACATCACTGTAAGTTATATGAAGGCCAATAAATATACTTTCTACTCATTTATCATTTTATTGAATAAATAATAAAACTATTCTTTTTAATAATGTAAAACTATAATCTGATGCGAGTGGAATTTGACTGTGATTTGGCAGGGACATTAGACAATACATTTTTTTTCTTACCTTACCTGGATACTAACAATGTATAGTTAACCTGTAACCTGTTAATCTATGTATACCAAACCTGTATAGTTGTAATGTGATTACCCTTTTTCTCTTTTTTTAATTTTAAAAAGTTTAAAACTATTTTTATATCATTAAATTTTTAATTTCCTAATAATTAGAAAATTAGTATTTTTTGATACTTAGATTGAGATTCTATTGATCATTAGAAGTTCTATTTAATTTGTATAGATAACAAATGTATGCCTTGAAATCGTAATTATTCCCAAATTAATGATTAGTGTTTTTTAGCAATTTAGAATTTTAACAAAATGTATCTACTTAACTTATGTTTTGGTTAAATTCAAGAAACTCAAAATGAAAGCTTATAAAATAATTTATTAAGTAGGTATGTATTAGAGTTATTTAGACTCTAGAGTCTAGATATATATTATTATATTATTATTTTAATTTTACTACTTGTTCACTATGTGTATGATATCAATGAATAGAATATAAAATACTAAAACTGAACAGGTGCCTGTATATTTATTACACCAGAACTTTAAAGATAAAAAAACCACAAACAGTATATTTTTTTCTAAAAAATCAAATTGTAAGGCATTATATTGCAGTTAAAAATAAGAGATTAGGCCTTTGTAAGAAAGGGACCCTGACCCTAACCCTGGTGCTCCGGTTAGTGTAAGTACCTAAAGGGGTTAAGAGTCAATAATGTACTCTTAATACATTTTACTATAATGAAAACTATAGGAAGGTAGCCTTTCTAATAATAGTGTAATATCTGTTGTTTATTGATTGGGAAAAATTATGTTATAAATTTATTAATGATGATTTATGATATTCTTATTTTTTTGATTTAAATTATAATTGTTGATATTTTCAAACCCAGATGAAAAATTAAAATTACATCAACATATTTTTGTTTATTATGGAACTTAATTAAATGTATTTTACATATGTTAATTGATACTAATTTATTTACATTATTTGTAGATTGACAGTGTCTAATAAATTACAATATTAACATTTGATATTTATTGTGGTAAAATTGATAATATTATAAGCACAGGTGAAACTAGGAATTTTTACGCCCGGGGAAAATGTTAAAATTACGCCCTATCATAGACCAATAATTAAATACTCTTCTCGAGAATTGTTTTAACTTAGTTAAAAATATCAAATTAGTTGTTAATAAATACAAAAATTACATCTTCTAAAGTTTTACGCCTGGAGATGAATCTTCGTCTTCCATTCTCTAGTTCCGTCCCTGATTATAAGTATTATAATTTATCTATGACTAGTATATTTGAAACATAAATTAAGTTATCAACTTTTCCTTATCATTGACATTTGATTTATAGGAAATATTTTTTTTTCATCCATAAATTGATCATAAAATAAACAAGCGAATTAGTAGAAATGAAATGTTTTGTAACAATCTCAAAACTTTATAAATAATTTAAAACTAATGACTTCTTTGTGTTTTTAATAAATTACACAAAATATATTTATAGATTATACATTTAATATAAAACAACAAAACAATAACACAACGAATTGGCGTATTTATACAAATCACATTCTTAATAGCCTATTGCTATTAATATTTACATAGGTAAATAATTATTTTAAACTGAACAATTATGTTTAAATTATAACTAATATTATAAACTTAATAGATATACAAAAAATTAATTATTTTAGGTATTTAACAACAAACAGTAATGATATTTTATTATCTATGTAAATTATTTTTTAACCGTATATTGTTTAAAACATTCACAGTGAAACTTATTATTTAATTTTTAGAGACACCTAGGACATAATCTTTAATAAATATCTAGAATCAGTAGAATCAGTGTCGGATCGCATGATTTTTTTTTTTTAGGGGGGGGAGAAGGATTTATAATTTATCTAACTTCTTTTGTTGTTTAGAGTTGATGTTTAAATACAAATTGATAAATAAAAATTAATCAAAATTCACGTTAGATAGTATTCAGCCATCATTACAGTTGTATAGCATTATTACGTTTTCTAAAAAAAATTTTAAAATTATACTCCTACTTCAATAACGAAAAATCAAGATGCAAGTAAATTGGCGAGGAAAATTTGACAATTTCCTCAGGCGTAGCATTGTCTACAATAGACTCATCAATCAAACATTACTAGAATAACAGAAAAAAAAATTGTTTCGCTTTTTTAATATTAAAAATATGTATATTTGTTTTCCACATGACTAATATGTAGGAATAAGTTAACGTATCTAGATATATGTTATCGACCAACAACAACAATTCAAACGAAGACGGTCAAGATTAGAATGAAAGCACCTATTGGGACAAAGGTCTGAAAAAAATTGATTTGAAGGAGGTTGGAGGCCTTCTCCATCTGAGCACTTTCAAAAGGACAAAAACAGATTGGGTAGAGAACAACAATCTATGTACGAAGGAAGAATTGGGAATTATACAGTTGACCCGCGCTTGAATCATCGGGTCATACACACGTTACAAAATAGACGAGCGAGAGTGATAAAGATGACTATGAAAAATATTTCAAAGAATACTTTGGATTCGAAGAGGGCGTTAAAATAATATCGGATCATCTTGAATCTAAGATAAATAGGACATAACAATACAGCTGCTGACAGACCATCCGACGCAAAGCTATAAAATACAAGCAATGATCACAAGTTAAGCTTTTTAAATTAAGTGATGGGGTTGTTGAATGAGGGCATGGAAGCAGTGCAGACAGTATAAGCCGGTCAGACCTTCAAAGTCAATCATATCGTATATTAACGTGTCGTGGATAGCATTCGCTAAGCAACGACAAGGGGACAGCGACATTCGGATCAGGACGAATAAGCCGACGAGTCCACACATCATAGACAAAATCAAATTAGATCATTGGAAAAACTAAGGTGAAAAAAGTGACATTTAAAATGCGCAAATGATTCGTATCCGGTTTATGGTATCACACGAAAAAAAAAAATATTAAATACCCATATAATTATTTTTGTAGAGGTTTCACTGAGGTGTAAATAGCTAAGTTTCATACTGTGAATAATTTTGTTATATAAGTACTATATTTTTTTATCACTAATATAGAATATATATATATATATATTAATTTAATATTAAAAAACAGTTATTCAATATGCAATATTTTATATAAAAATTGGTATTATTATAAAAGCACCAGCAGATAGCGATATTTGTTTGTAAACAAAAATCTAAAATTCGCCTCAAGCTATAATTCACTAAATTAAAACCAAAAACTAAAATTGGCATAATATATTTTATCGCATTATGACAAGTGGGTAGTTAATATATACTAGCACATACCTAACCAGCCTATACGTTTTTACAGGAAGATACCTACATAAAAAGTATTCTTATTATAGTTGTCTCTCTGGTTTCAAATAATTTATATTTACCAAGCTAATATAATATCATAATATAATTGATATACAATATACTTTGTGCGTCATAGTTCATTATTCATTAATTAAATATTTGTGTATTTTTATTCACTTATATTTTTTTAACTGCAAATTTCTTTATGAAAACAATTCTTCAAAATACTAACATTTGAAATTAAATTTGGGTAGATATAAAATCAATGTTTAATTTATTTATATAGTTTAGTTGTTAAAAAAAAAATGGGTTTTTATGTCTATTGTAAATTTATTCTTTATTAAATTAAATCATAAAATGCATATTATATATCACGGCGATAATATATAACGTGCACCAATTAATTAAGAATTAAGATAATATTATTTCTTAATTCTGAATTAACCATTATGTTTTCATGATAAATGGCTCTGTCACGTAATTGAACAATTAATACACTGTTTATATTATTTTAACTTTTAGTATATGTTAATAATATCTCGTTTTTGTTATATATAGCAATTAATCGAAGAAAATTATGTCATAAGAAGGTGCCTAACTGTTATAATTAGGTTTATCTTTCCATTTCAATGTTTTGAATCAAAGGTTATACGTAACAAATAAATATATTAATTTATAGAGTATTATAACTTATAATGTATAATTTGTATGGATAATTATTATCTCTAAAGCTTTGTTTATTCTCTTAATAAAATAACTTTATTATTTTATTGGTTTTACTTAAAAATTAAACAGTAATTACTTATAAGTGTATATTTATACAGTACTAAATAGAGAAAAAGAATCAATGTAAATAAATATACAATTAAAACACAATTTTTCAATATAAGTAACATGATAATATAATAATATGTGATGTTTTTTTGAGCGATCCGATAAATTACGACAATAGCAATGCAGTTAAATTTTCATGAGATACATAATGCTAATATAATTATAACTTATTTTTTGCGTATAAAGAGAAAGGGATTTAATGTATAATTCAAGTACCTAGTAGAAGAGTTTTTGTTGTATAAAATAACAGAAATAGGGAGGACTGACATGAATAATATTTGTTTGAAATTTACATTTCATAAATGAATATCTAGTGTATTACATTATTGTCTTTTTAAAACTGTTTAAAAATAATATTTTTATTTATTTTCTTAGTTATTGAGCTTTGTTTTCCATGTATAGTTTCAGTATCCATTTCTCTCCGTACGCTTACGATAGCGACGCAAAATAATAATATTATTACAGAAGAAATTGTTTATAACGACACCGACAGGATCATTAAGATTACTGATGTATCTCATTTATACGCTGTTCGTACCGGTGTTAACTTCTGGATCAACGTCCTATCAGGAAAATATAAGATTTAGTCGTACGAATATATACGTCGTGTAGAACAGTAACGTTATAAACGGTTTCTTCTGTGTTTACTTACAATACCAACTTAAGTATAGTTTATATATTATTTCACAATTCATGTTTTAATTCTAAATCTATTTATGTAGCTAAGGTCATAATGTACGTTCTAGACTGCGGTTGAAACTACACGTCGAACAAAATTACAGAACTGTCTCCATTTCGGCGATTTCTGTCCTGAAAATACGGTTTATGGTTGACAGTAAACGTGTAATAACAACAATATAAAATATTATAAAGTATAATATTAAATAATAATATAAAATATTATGATTATTTTTGACGTATTATTATTATAAAAATACTGAATTGGAGTACCGAGTGGTGAGTATTAACTCTTATTTGGTTGCAATAGTGATGGCCACAAAATCAATAATATAATTAAAAATTAAGCTGACTTAAAAACGATATTATATGATTGGTATTTTTAATTTTCTCAGCTGTTATGGATGAATTAATTTCAATTAAACATTTATTAGGTGTGGAGAAAGTTTTAAAAAATATTACATAATGTATTGGTATAGAATATTTCCTGTTGATATTTTAATCTGATCAAAATTTTTAATACTTATTAGCAATTAAATATGGGTCTGGGTATCTATACGAAAAATGTTGAAGATATTCCGTTTTGAAATAAAAATGTATGTCACTATTAGCATTGTGTAAGACTATATAAATCATAACAAGAAAATAAGAACCGACTTTTTTAATTATAATTATTTAGCGTAGTGTTGTATAAACGTGTAGTGATGTCTGAGTTGTATAGAAAAGTTTATTAATTGTATGTTCACCAATTTTTTATGTACAAATTGTAAATATAGGTATACTCTATGGAAATATAATTAAATGAACTTTTTTTTTTTAAATCGGAAAACGATTTTTTTTTCACATTTAGTTAATATTTCTGAAATTATCGATGGATAAAATACCTAGTCAAAAATTTGACCAATATTTTTGAAATTATTGTAATTTAAGCTGCATATGTAATAAGTATAAAATAGACTATTAATATGTTTGATGTGGAGAATGAGAATGCGCCAAAACCAACATGTGACTGGTATTTATTAATATTTTTTATCTTCAGACATATAAATACATAATATAGTCTAAAAGTTATTCGTATTATATTATATTGGCTTGATTTTAAAACTTTATCAAAAAAGCAAGATATCGAAAATTATTTGCGAAAAAAAAAATGGTGTTTCCATTTAAAATATAAAAGTTTATATTACTACAGGATAGCTATTCTTTAAGAGGTAAAAAAAATGTATGTGTTTGAAATGTTCGTATTTTAGTACATTTTCCGAAAATCAGAATTTGAAAAAATTTATAATTTAAGCATAAAAAAGGAATGAGTAAACTTAACAAATTGTTTTTTAAAAAAAATATAAATTTACTCTAAAAATGATTTAAAAACAATGTATAATTTGATTTGAAAATAATTATCAATTAATTGTCTTATCAATATAAATATTTTTGGCTTTTATGTTTTTTCAAGTTTTTACCTGAGAGGTTCATGGTCATATCTATTTGCGTACTCGGTTGAAATAATGCTAGGTCTCACAATATCGCGTTGTCTTAGTGGCGATGCCGGTGAAAATTGATATCTATAACGGAAAGAAACATGTTAATAAATAAATATAATTTAGCTTACTACATAAACAACTATAATAGTATTAGTTAACTAATTTGTTTTGTTCGATTTTTCTTTACACAATTAACGCACATGCTACTAACTATTTACATTTCAACAATAACATATAATTATTAGATGATCTATTTAGCGCGTCAAGCAGTATATTATTAAATATACATATGTATATTTAGTATTACCAACTAGGCTCATTATAATAATTTATGTTTGACGGTTTATTGGGTCACCTATCTACCCGGTTCTATAAATCTATACAAGCGCGTTTAAATGCTTTGGTTCCATGTTTTTTCTTACCCCATTGCCTAAAGGTACTAATATTTAGCGCTGCAAAGCGAGTTCGATGCTCGATGTTTCTACCTATCCTATTTTTTTTTTTTTTTTTTTTTTTTATCTCTTACTGTTTTTTATCCGGATATTTATCGTGGTTTTCAGTGATACACTGAAATAGCCTAGCGGAAGGTGACATCGCTTTCTTCCTCCTGACGACACAAGTTTAATTTGTTTCAAAACATCTGGACATACTAAAAATGTGATAATTTACCTTTTTTCCGACTTTAGTTTTCTCAATTCCAGTTCCTTTTCCAATTGTTTCATTTTAGAATATGTACTCATCAACTGATTTCTGAGTAGCTGATACTGCGAGTCACAAACCGCATCCTTACAACGACGGAATTTCAAAAAGTCTTGAGCTTCATACACAGCACCCCGAAATGTTAACGATTTACCCATGCTCTGTATAAAATAAACAAGTAAAAGTATGAAATTATGTTCAATTCTAACGACCTCTATCCACCGATTTCACTGACTAACTGTAGTATTTATTACAAATTTTATACAAATAGTTTACTATTTTATTACATAATATTATTGTATTTCTTACCAAACTAATAAGGGCACAGCATCCACCTTGATCGGTTTTTGCTAATTTCTTTCTGAAAAAGTTAAAATATAAACACTCCAGCAGGAGTATCAGAGCGGCCAACAGTGTACCACCCATCAACAGTAAAAATGCCGACAAGAACTGTTCGAGGGCCAAGGGATCACTGGTGGCATTTTGATCATGATCATCAGGTTTACACGTTCCGGTCATCCAAAATCTTTGTAGTCTTTCAAGATCACCTGAGAACATTGTTAGGTATTTCATTTAATACTGCAGTGCATTGAATTAATCTGCCATACCATTTTCACGGAAATCCAATAGTCTCTTGTTAAACATCTGAACGTATTTTGAGTTTCTCTGAAATGCAATGGCGTAGCCGGTTTTCGCATACCACGAACCAACGGTCAACAAACGACAATCGTCATCTTGTGTCACTAAGTAGTCAAGTACCGTTCCATCATAGATAAAAGCATCGAGTTCACTGCAATAAAAATACGTTCATTTATAAGTGGATACGTTGTCAGTACTTATATGCAAACAAAACGTTATTTTTTACACGGTCATGTTGTTATTATTATTAATTGAAATTAAATTAATTTCGAAATATTTCGTATTTGATTTAATGAAATTACAACAAATCATCAATTACCAGCATGGACAGTTAATAATAGTTGATAAATCATCGTCGCAAATATTTAAAAACATCAAAACGATTAAATACTTTGTATTGCCTTTGTATACGAATGAATCTGCAATGGAAAATGTAGTATACTTACGCGGTGAGTAACGAGTTGAGCCCATCTGTTACGGTATTTCTGTTGAAACTTTTCATGTAATTAAACATCTCCGGAAAGTATTTGTGAATGGTTGAATCTATATGAGAATGAGGCACGGTACCAAATTTGAACATGGGCTTGTGACTATGCGGTTTACTGAGCTGGAAACAGCATGTTAAATATGAATTAACCATCATTGCCGGTAACGCAAACAACGCAACGTTTGGATAGTTACCCTATAATCGTCGATTCCCATGAAATCGTAATATTCTTCACGGGTAATCATGAACGCGGCCAAATTGGCAGTGTATATAGCTAGAAACACTACGGCGAACATAGCCCATATGTTGGTCATAAATCTGAAATGAATACACGCGATTACACGGTTATGCAGTCATATCGTTTTATTGGATGACGTTGAATTTCAAACGTATTCCGTTTAAAGATGGCGTTTTCGAAACGAAGCGTTTCGCTAATTAATTATAGTTTTAACGTTTCACATGTAACGTTCATGTAATATAACTTGACATAGGTACCTAGATGTAATGCCCCTTGGTATATCTACTTGCACCGCTGCTTGAAATAGCACCGCCCATATAAGCCAGTACGTTCGGAATAAGGAAAACCTGTGATTCGGAGCTTGCGAAACCGACTGCAATCGGAGAAAATACCGTTATAAGTACGAGTAGTAATATTTTTTATTTAAAAACCATACTTTCATATCGAAACCAGAAGGGCTCATCCACTCGAAAGCGAATATCGAAAACGTAGCTGCTTGTATCGCCACCACTCCTACCATCATCCACGATGCAGTGTCGAACGGTTCTGTAGAAACGAAAAACACGCATGTAGTTCGGTTTATGTACGCGTATAACGGTTTTTTTTTTGTTTAAAAAATATAACGTTATGGTAGTACGTACCCAAAAAAGCAGTCGGTGAAATGATACCGGTTCGCTTGGTGACGGCTATCGAGATGCCAGTTTCCATGAACGGTAGACTGAAGTCGACTACAGCTTCTCGGTCTGAGTTTATCATCAACGACGTCATCACCATGTCGGTTTTCCTGTTCACTAACTCTGATATCAGACCGTTCCATTTCCCGTTCTGAATTCGAGGGCACACGCAATCGTTTAAATGTAAGTTCAGTACTATTTACTTAGCATGCGTAACATTTTATTACCTCGAGTGTTCCCCATTTGCCGTCTTCGACCCGGCTGAGTTCGTATGTAAAACCCAAGTCTTCGGCAAACTTTTCTAACAGATCTATACAAAATCCTGAACAGCACTGAAAATAACTACCGTTGCGATGAGCCTCCGAGTCCGTCCTGAAAATCGTAAACGTCAACAGTGTTACTGTTATACTCGGAGGCACGTATCATAAATATATAGTTTACGTGTAATGATAACAACAACAATTACCGATGTGAACTACTGCTATTGTCTCGAGCCATCCGGCATAAAACACCCCTGTTCATACTACATTTCCCGGTTATTGGGTCTGGTGGTGCGAGCGTTATGTACGGTGCTTCTTCCAAAAACGTAATTCTTAGATTAAACTTTTCCGGTACCCCTTGCGGTGGGGTGTGACTATCTCCTGGCCATACGATATCTTTTATATAAAGCCCTTCACGTTCCCATGATTTCCAAACACCGATCTAAAAGTAAAATAAATAAAAATCTCTTTATTTGGCAAAAGTAAAGTTTTGGTAACAAAAAATGGTTATAATTATATCAAGAGATAATAAGTTTAATGATTTTTAAATGACTTTTAATGCAATTACATTTCGTAATAATTACTTCAATTTAATAACAGTTATAAATTTAGAACTCCTGTTTAGTATTTAAGCCTTAACGCATGTGTAACAATGATAGTAGAGTGACAAATTTCAGTTCATTAGTCCTTAATTACTTTTTATTTAATTTTATTTAGTATACTTTAAAATACGTAATTACTACGAGTATTGTCACGATTGTCGATATTGAAAAGAATCCTTTTAGCCGGTTTCGTACTATTCAGTCCTACCCTGTCACCTACAAAAATACCAGGAAAATATTATCAATCCAGCAGTTGTTTAGTGTATATAAGGTTATTTTTTAACATTAATTTTCGAGGAAAAATTGATTGTTTTGAAAATTGTTTTAAGCAAAATGTTTTTTTTTTTTAATTTTAAAATTCTCTAAACACGTAAAAGAGTAGCTGAAGAATGGTATTTTATATAAGCACTAAAAAATATATCCAAACACTGTATGCGTTCACAAATAAATATTAACATTGATATTTAAATATTCAATTTTTATAGATAGCATATTTAGAAAACTTTTCAGTTTCAGAATATAAAATTAAAAAAATATACGATGCAGTTTAAAAAATTGGAAGTGCTACAAAATTATTATGCTAAATAAAATCAAATTTTATATTTTGATTGGGTAATAATAACTTATATAATGAATATAGAATTATAATTCAGTCATATTATCAAAAACACTTGAGTTGATCTAGAAAACGAAAGTTTCAAAATTCTTCAGTATACGTACATTTATATTTTTATTCCAATTAGTAACTCAAGCTCTTGTAGTAATAAGGAAGAATTAAATTCTTTGAGTGCTAAACATCGTTATTTGAAGACCAATGTTTTTATAAACATATTGTGTTTCAAAAGATTAAAAGTTGCACAATTTAGGTGTTTCTATGAAAAACGTATTAACACAACTTTCTCTTTTTCCCAAAACAACTTTTTTCAGTAATAGTGATTTTCTGTTGCAAATGATTGAGACAAGTTAGAAAATATGTGTAACTTTTAATAATTAAATATTTGAAAAATAAAAAAATAAATAATTTGTTCATATTTTAAAGGTTTTTTTTTTTTTGATTTGCTGCCAAACGTGTCTTTTTCTGGAAATGACGTATTTTGTCCATAATTTTTTGATATTGTTTGTTTTTATATATTTTTCCATACTTGGTATCAAGCTAAATAATGTAACTTTTTAAAATATATAATAGATACATGGAAAATATTTATTTATATAAGATTCAATAAAATAGAATTGTTAAATTTGGAAAATAGTATTTTATAATCATGTATTTCATACTATTATATCATACATATAATATCATTTTATACTATGGTAAATATATAATATATATATAATACAATATAAAATATATAAAGTATCAATTGGTAATATTAAAATAACAAAAAAAAAAAAAAAAAAAATAAAAAAAAAAATAATTGAGTATATTCAATATAAATCAAAATTCCATTTTTATCTTAAAAACCATTATTCAATTCTTCAATGTTTGGCTTAAAAATATTACAGTAAAATTTTTTATCTTCAGGAATTTTAAAATATTTCTTTAAGTTTTTATATCATTCTGTTTTGGGTTTTTTATATGATTGAGTTGTTAAATCTTCAAGACATTGTTAAAATTTTCTTAGTTTCTAATATATTGTATAAAATATAATTTAAAATAACTTAGAATTTAGCATGACGAAATATATTTTAAGTTTAAAGTATAATTAATAATTGTTTTTCATAAAAATATGGGATTACGAATATTCATGGTGATCATAATACAGCATTTAGTACTATCACAAAGAAGCCAATAGCATATATCATGAACGTTGGCGAGAAATTACAATAATATGGATAATCCGTATTATATAATTATTTTATGTTGACTTTCACATTATTTTTTAATGCATTGAACATGGTCGGGGTGACCAGTAATAAATATGATATTCAGTAATGGTTTTCTGGTCCTTTTGAATATATTTAAACCTCAGCTTGGGAGCATAAAGGAAAGGATCTTAATATTACAAATAAATGTGGATTGATTTAGATATTACTGAAGTTCAATACATAATATAACTTATTGGCTATGGATGTCTATAGACTAATATGGAGTTTAGCTACAACGGATGGTGGTTTTGGCCGAACTACCTTTTCTTACTTATTAGATATTAGCCGTCAGCTTTACAATAATGATACATGGTATATGCCCTAGTTGGAACGTAGTGTCTACTCAGTAAATGTTTATATTATATGCGGAAATCAATAATAATGTAACAATCGTTACAGTATAATTGTTAGTTTTGTTTTAAACCATATAATATTTTAATACAAATTAATGAAATCATTTTAATTTAAATGATTCATTGGTATTAGCACCTATTATATAAATGTAGTTAAATTACCATATAAAAAACATGGGAAATATCACGTTTTGATGTATTATGGAATATAATGATGAATGTATTACATTTTAGAAAAATATGAGATGTAAGACCTATAATAAGGTACAGGTAATAGTCGTTTTGGAAAAAAAATGTATTGGAAATATTCGTGCTTTCAAAAAAAAAAAAAAAATAAACAAATAAAAATATTAGTACAAACTTAATTGTAGTTAAGAAATAGTATGTAAATAATGGTTTCAATCGATTTTATTAGAAATGAAAACAACACGTTTTGCATAGAAATACCTCAATTATGAACAAATATTTGGTACCTACTATTGACTTCATTAAACGTTTAGTTGTTCATAATGACTTTCACTGTTTTGTTTATACGAAAAAAAAAAAAAACTCTACCGAATATGTGGAGAGTTATAAAAATAATATTCTAAAAATATTTAAACCTAAATACATTTTTTTTTTTGATTAAGTAATATTATTTTTGACGTAAGAAAATTCTTTATTTTTAATACGTATTATAACCGTTAATTGTAAGGGCTTATAATAATATAGGGTGTCTCAAAAAGAAGACAGTATTTAAATCTGCTATAAATTAAATTTATTTTTTTAAAAAAATATAACAAATATATCATTCTCTTCAAGAGAAATTAAGGTTTAACAGTGAAAAATAATATCGTGCATATGACTCTCCCTACTAATCCTACAGACGAATATTCTTTCCATAAAATTTACTATCACTCGATTACACATTGCCCATAAAGTTTGTTGAAGACACGACGAATTTTTTGCTTAAGTTCCAAGACATTTTGAACTTTGTTCTGGTAAACTCGTGACTTAGTGTATCCCCATAAGAAAAAATTATACGGCGTCAAGTCACAAGATCGAAGGGGGTAGCTTTGGTCTCCATGCAACGAGATAAGTCTGTCCAGGAATTTCTTACGCATATTGACAAGTTGAAACCATACACTGTTGATGTTCATTCGATCCAAATGAGTTCAAAGAAAATTACTGAGCTCAGTAGGTATTCTTATATGGTTACAATAAGACGGCGTAACTTGTTACACTTAAAGAGAATTCTAATGTCGTTGCATGGCCAAAGTTACCCACCTTCATCTTGCGACTTGATGCTATGTGATTTTTTTTTAGGGATACACTAATTCACAAGTTTAATAGAACACAGTTCGAAATGTTTTGGATCAATTAAGTGGTGTATAAATACACATTTATAGATACATTTCAAAATTTTGTAATTTTGGTATGCACAATACAACATGTTTTGTTTTAAATAGCAACATTTATTTCGGACACCGTATTCGGATTGGCCTATTTTTTCAAAGGAATTTCGATATATCAACTATGGTTCTAAAATAAAAATTTACTGTATAAGATCAATTTACATTTTAAAAAATAGCAAATTATTAATATTCATTAAAATGCATAAAACTATTTATAATTATTTATTACTGGTTCCTTTATGAATAATCTTAGATATTTTTTTTTTATACATGTTATACGTATAATTGAAATATTAACAGCATATAATATCAGTTAACTAAAAAACCAACAACTTATGCAAATGCTTTTATTTATAGTAAATACAATAGAAATTGTCGTCAATCAGCTGAAATGTATGGTGAATAATACCTAAGTCGGTATCATCCATTAAAAACACTTTTTATTAAAATAGAAAAAATATTGATTACCCATGGAGCATATTCTGAGGAAATATCCCTTAGAATATCCAGAGTAAATAATATTAAAGAAGATGAGGAATTTTAAATTTTAGTTTATATTAGATCGAATCCACGATCTTCGGTTAGACTTTTATAATCGATTTTTAATAATTGATTGTTTATCCATATTATGTTAATTTTGTCTATAATACGTATAAAAAATACGTAAAAATATTAAAAAGAATAATCAATAGTAAATAATTATAAATATTTGTATGCATTTTAATGTATCGTAAAAATGTATTATTTATTAAAATTAAAATGGCCCTTATTCAGTCAATTTTAGAACTATATTTGATAAATCCTAATTACTTTAAAAAATAGAATTATCTGAATATATTACTTAAAATAGGTGCTGCTATTAAAAAAAACATATACTACGGCGCATGCGCATACTAAAATAATAAAATGTTTGAAATGTATCTATAAACGTGTATTTATATATTACTAGTTAGAAAAAAAAAATTTGATTTATTCCAATATAATTTAGCCAAGAAATGCAGTGTTCCTTAAGTTGGTGAACACACATTGTATAGACAAAGTGGATTTTTTAAATTTAATAGTTTTCCGGGACCGAGGAAAGAGGTTAGACTGATATTCGATTAAAATGTATTATAATTAAAAGTCCATGAGATACATTTTTTACGGAGACTTGATTACATTTATGGATCACTTACTTCTTCCCAAACAAGTGAATTTCCAACTCCGGGTCTTAGATTCATGATTTTCAACTCCGCGGATTTTAAAACACCGTCAGCGGTGAATTCAACTTTTGGTTTTGCCGGTTCTACATGTTCGACACTGACATTTCTTAAGTACCTAAAAATTTTTTTGAAAAGTGCTAGAATACGTGTTGCACATTACAATAATATACATTGTGTTATAATACGAATGTTATTACAACTTGCTTAGCTATTGCTTAGCGGATGTATAAGTAAGCACATGCTCGCCAACATGTTATAAATAACCGCATATTGATGTGTGCACGGAATTGAATCGCTTTGCAAATCGAATTTTGTTGACAAAACCAATCTTTAAATCGCATTTATACTCATATATGTATATTTTTTCGATTCTCAGTTGATATTCGGGAATTTCAATTCGAATTCTTACCATTTATTTTAACAACACGGAGTGTATTTTATAAGGGTAGTTGGCGAAGAAAGAGACCGACACAAGTCTAATAAACGCTTCCGGTGATTGAATCGATGTTGATTAATCCTCAGGAATTTATTCAACTGTCATCAAACAACGTTTTGTTTCTATCTTATATAACGGTAAAACGTGTGAGAATGGGTTTTTTCCCCACGAACTTTTAATAGTTAATATGGAAAGCCGTTGGAAAATCTCAGACCGCAACAATAATAAGTTTTAAAAAAAGTATATACGAAAAATGAAAAAATAATGGTATTTCCATAACTATCGTGATGGATCGGTGTATCGTGTGTTTGCATTAAAATACGACAAACTAATTATAATTGCTTAAATATTAAACTGTAATCTCGCAAAAACATTAAAATTTTGAAAACACTAACTTGTAGAATTTTTCACCGGTAGCCCAACGTGATTCACCATCACCTTCGCATGATAATTGCGTGGTCAGAGTTTCGTTTATGTTGGCCGGATCGTTGACAAAATCTTCTACGCCATACGCAAATACTCGTATGGCAGTCGTGATCTCTCTTACTAAACTCTCACTACTCGTATCGAAGTGAACTCCTATAATAGTAAAATAAACAATCATTAAACATCTAATATTTTATTTTTGGATCCGAATAGATATATTTTTGAAATTTAAATTTACTTATTCAGAATACAATAACGTCAAGATATTTTAAATATATTTATTAGTGTTTTGATTTCGATTCTAAATCGATGTGTTCAGTATTCAATTAGTGTATAAATAATTATATTATTCATCGGAGGTAAAAATTGTATTTTAACTTCAGAACTAAAATTCAATAGTTATTCTAGATTTTATGTTTAATCTTATACTACAAATAATGATTTTATTTATTTATTTTCAAATGATTATCGACAAGTTATATGATTTTTTTTTAATCAAAATCAACTATTTTATAGTTATTATTTATTATTATTCCTTGTAATAATTATAATATTAAAAAAAAATTCGTAATAGTTACTTTAAAAATAAAATAACTAATATATGGTATATTTTTTGAACATATTAATTATTAACATACTATTAATTGGTAAAAGATTTTGAAAATGAAAATCATATTTCTACCATAAATAAAAATTGAGGACATTTCCAGAGTAGAAAATGTACGAAATTATAATTCCGTAAAATATATTGTAATGAACATCATGTTGTTTATAGAATACAAAATTCGTACAAAAACTACAGAGAATGATAATAATAAATATACAAAATATGTATTAAAACATAGCATTGCGGTTAAGATTTTATGTATTTAAAATATTGAGTACTCGTATAGCTTAAGTAGATTGTGGTAACATACATAGTTATATATATAGTACATACATACATAGAATATATAGAATATTTATATAAAAATAAAATAGAAAAAAAAGTAGATCGGCGTGATTCATAGTATACAAGAATAAATATAAAATAGAAAGAATGGTAAATAATCTAAAAATATGTGTATTTTTTTAAAATTATTTATAAGTATATATACATTTATAAAATTAAAAATTATATGTCTTCATGCATTTTAACCAGCTAAGAGCTTTTGGCATTTTATGCTACCCTCAAATGAAAAACTTTGGAAACCCCTGTTTTTAATGATCACAAGTTAGAATAAATGGTACTTGTAACCATTTTTAAAAATTAAATCAGGCATTCTCATCAACAATATACAGTAATCAATACTATAGCGCAAAACATGGAAACACGAACAGTGGCATAGCCAGAAAAATATTTTAGAGAGATTTTGAAATATTAAATTCTTTCCAATATAAGTATCAACTTTTTAATTTCAATAACTCAATTAAACATAAATTAAATTATAACTCTTATTTGATTTAGTCTATTGAAACTCTGAAAATTGTTTTATGATGGCATGTGATATAACATCATAAATATGTCCTAAAATTATTGAATATCTTAAGAGAGAGGAATTTCGAGGGGGATCATAACCTGTTAATCCCCCCTCCCCTATCTATGCCGCTGAATATGAAACAATAATCACAACATTTATTGTGCGTACATATAGTTTACAAATCATGTGTAGTCTTGGATGTATCTGAATTGCCTACACGGAGTGCCGTTTTTGCTTTTTTATTTTTTTATTTGTCCTTAAATAAATTTTAAAAATTAATAGAGTTGTGCTATGAATAATTATAACTAAAAAAATTTGAAATTTCAGATACGTGTGTATCTTTTCATCACTTGATATATTACCTCACGTTATTTCCTAGTGGAAAGTTTATAGTCGATTTAAGACAAAAAATACTTGTTTGTATCTTTAAGTAGGGTAGTGTGTTATTTGTTAGGATTTTTCTAAAATAAAACAAGTACTGATTTTTACACCCAAAAAATTAGTTTTATTTGGTTTTAATTATAAGCATATATAATTTCCACATATTACGTGATATAAAGTGACAGTACATATTGATTAATCGTTCGTTAAAAATGTAAACGGATAATATCACTGACGAAAAAGTTCTCATAAGTGCCAAAAAAACAATCACATGGAACGTAGCATAACTAGGATTGTTATTAAACAGGTGCTGAATTTGAGTTCTTTATTTAAGAGATAAGCGTAAATATGTACATAAATTATGGTTTCACATTCTAAAGCCACTACTGTGATCAAAAATCTTTTTATCAAATAAACTTAAATTATATTTTAATTACTATAATGTCATTAACATACATATTATGATAACTCATAAAGCATTGTAGTTTCGGATTATGATGTTATATCTTCCAATACCAAAACTCTATGTACCGTTTTCTCGATCCATATTTTCTTGGAGTATCATTAAAGCTCCATTATGATTCGTTCGATACACAATAGTTTTGATTGAAATGTCAAAACAATTAATAAAACCATGTTGGCGCATAACCAATGGTATTATACTGAATTATTACCAAAATCACTTCATTTGTAAATCGTCTTCTGGATTACAAGATATACATTACAGAATATTTTGTAACTTGAATGACGTATCAACTACGAGTATAATGGGTGCATAATCGTTTTATGACCAAATAGACTCAGACTGGATATCTTGAATATGATCATATTATTTATTTTAATTAATTCATCACTGTTATTAGTATCACTAGTGATACTTTTGCTCACATTTACTGATTGAATTTCATTTTATTGGCTTTTACATATTTATAACAATTATTTATACATTCAACAAAAAAAAAAAAATAATATATATTAAAAGTCATAAGCACCGATTTTTTTGGATTTTTTTTTATTTCAACATAAATGGCATTATTTTAGCTTATTAAGAAATTGTTATAAGTTTTAAAAAAATATGAGGTTATGAGTACTTAATACATTTAAAATCAATATAAATATCCTTCAAGATTTAATGGTATATTTTTCTCATCGTTAATTTTAAAAATGAAATAATTTATGTTCTTCTATAAACGTATGTTATAATAATTTTAAGTATTAAGAATGTGTTTACTTTTGTAAGATTAGAATCGGTATATTTCATTGTGTAATATGTGTTTGGATCGTTAATTCGGGTTTTTCTGTTTCCGTATCCGATTGAAATCTGTTTTTGGTATAGCGGAGAATTGAAACTGAAATAATGTTTTTGTCAATTACCTTACACAATTAATATCGAATCTATCTAAAGTTATAGGTTCTTCTTGTACTTAAATAAATGTTTCGTTCAATTTTTGAGTCATTTTTTTCTAGTGTTTCATTTTGTACATTTGAAATAATTGAAAACATATTATTTATCCTATGATCATAAGCAAATCGATCTATGTACAATGAATACAATGAGTTAATTTTTTTTTGCCTCTAGGGTATTTTATTTTTAAATAAAATATTAGTAGCTTAGAGATCAAATAGATATCAAACAGTCCAGTCAATCTATATTTTTATTTTATTAAGTTTTATCAAGTCTTTCTATTGTAATTAAAGTATATTAGGAATCAAATATTTTTTGAAGTAAAAGCAAAGAAGTTTTAGTTAAATTTGAAATAAAATAAAGTGAATAATTTTTTGTGTTAGAAAAATAAAAAAATTGTGATTTAATATTTTTATCATTAATTAGAAGTAGAATTTTTTTAAATAAAGTGATAGACGTTATTGTTATAAAAATTTATTTGGGAAAAAATTATATTTACAATATTCTTGTGTGTACATTTTTAATCAGGTTCAAATAAATACAATTTAAATATTATGCATTAAAAATTTTAAATTTATATTCACCTTATTCATCTAGTTCTTTATTTTCAATTTTTAAGAACTAGCTAATTTGTTACTAAAAATATGTATTATTCATGGGAGAAAAAACTTTTAAAATAATTTAATTTTTATTAGTCCCAGTAGTAATAGAAGTATGAATAATACTTATATCTTATGGAATATATTATAAAATATTCACTTTTAATTTTACTGACGATAAAAAATATCCGTTGTTTAATATATATATATATATTCAAATATTTGATCTAAAAGCATGACGATGTTATGTTAAATTCATTTTAATTTTGCACTTATACACATCAGAATTATTAATTTCAAAGTTCGAGAGACTAGGAAATTATATATATCATGGTGTAAAAATGTATAGTCAGTATACTTATAATTAACTTAAGCACAATACCTGTCCCTAAAATTTTCCTATGGTTTGAATTTGGGGTTGTGGTAAATCAAGTGAGGTCTTTTTTTGATTTGAGTAAGGCTGCAAAAGTTAATCCTATCCAAACAAAAGAAACCTGACAAGGCGAAATACCTTTCAATTTTTTTTTTTTTTTTTTATTGCGACGTGAAATTTAATCCTAACACAAGGTAAACCATACACTATAGAACAAACAAATTACGCAGTATCTAAAGTGGAAAGTATGTAAAAAAAGTATGTATACCTAAATTAGGATTATGGTTGTATTAAAGCTTAATTATAAGGTCAAGTAAAATTAATTTTGAGAATTTGATTTTTAATTGTTGTAAGTGAATGCGACAGTGCAACATACTTAAGTTTTTATGGTTATCTATTGGTTGTATGTGATTATAATATTATGTACAATATAATTTTTTGGATATAATATAATAATAACTTATATAGTCAAAACGTCATATTAAATTATTACTTTAAAAAAAAAAAAAAAATGATAATGACTATAATTTACTTTTTAATTATTTCGCTTTACGTTTATATTTTTTAGTTATTTTTTTACCGTAGTCATATCATTTTTAAGTTAAAGTAAGTAAGTTAAATAACAATTTTTTTACATAAAATATAATAATATTTTTTAATTTAATGTTCGAATGTGTATTATTTTTAACATTTTTATAAACCCAAAGAATTTCATTACATATTTGTTATAATGTAGTGAAAATAGTGTAATAAAGTTTGATCAAAGATTGAAATTAATACGTTGTTGTGTTTTGTAAAATTATTAAAATGTGTTTAGTCAATAATCATATCATGAATTTAAAGTATGTACAAAACAAGAACTGTAAAAAATGAAGTTAATCAATTTATCAAATAGACTGTATCACACTTCGATTTTTTAAAATACAAATTAATAAATCGAAGAGTAAACAGTGTTCTATCTGAGAATGATTTTAAGTATTCCTTGTTAGTTACAATTTAATAGCCTACAATCATATAGTTAATTAAATGTCTAAAATATCTCGAATTCGCATAATTCAGTGTATGTAATTCTGTTCATAGAAATCATATACCAACAGCAAATAATAAAAGATAAATCGAATGCTTTATGAAATAAACGAAATAATAATAAACAATTTGGTACATAGGTGCAATATAATTTTCTTCTTATTAAGCCAATAGTAGTATTTATAATTATATCAATAGAAGCCTTAACAAGTATGTAAGAACAATAACGTGTTGGACTGATATATGTAGTAGGTATATACGAAATCTTTAACTTCAAGAAAAGTTAAAAATAAAAATAGAATAATAATAATTTCTTATGAAATTATTACTAACTGAATAACTAGCTATTCAATTATACGTAAAGTAAATATAATATTTGTAAATTTAATAATTTAAAAGTTAATTAGTGTTCCAAGAATCAATAGTTTTTGGTAGTGTATACACAATAACTGTAGCCGTTACAGTATTCGTATAATCGTTGAAGCCTACTTCATTTGTAATAATTTTTTTTACGAAAAAATGGTTTTCACTCACCAAGCATTCCAACGGGAAATAATTGCGGTGCTTGTAAATTCTCCATTACGCTCTGGGTCACCACCCACACGTAATTCTCACCAGTAATCCCGAGTGATCTGGCCGATTGCAATATTCTAAGCGCTTCTTCTCTGGTACAGTAGAGTAACACGACTCGCGATTCCGAGTCGGCCAACTCTTGTAAATCCGAGATCTTGGTGACCAACACTGACTTTATTATTGTAAACCTATACATACAGAATACAATGTATTGTTAAAAATATACAAACATAATATACGTAATCGTATGATGTGAATGTGAACTTGAAGTAAATTCGAAATAACAATATACAGAATATTTTGATAAAACCGTATTGCTGTGAATATCTTCTTCGATGAGAAATATATTAAACAATAATATTATTCTGTCTACATCAAATAAAAACATTTCTAATTGAAAATAATTTCTTAATTTCTTTGTTAAAACTATCTGAACATGTAGCTTTTATGTTGTGTACAGTTTAATTCTGCTTAACTTTTGACTATTTATTAATATAAGTACTATCTATAATGTTCTATTTTTCTTTCATACAATTTCAAGTTTTTGTTCTTAATCATATGCCATACTAGTAAACTACAGAGGAAGTTCCTCGCTTCGCTGTCAAATCATCATCAAAACGTTTTTTTTTTTTATTATAGACGGCATATAATATGAGAATATTACAGTTATATATATATCGATGTTGGAAGCAGAATTAGATGCAGCAACTATTGTTTTGTTATATTTTTTTTGAGCAGTATTTATAATGTTTAAAATGAAAAATTATTATTTATTCTAAAAATATCTTTCATCTTATCACGCTTCTTATAACTTTACAGCACTTTAAATGATTAATAATTATTTTGTTATAAATTGCTTCTCTGTTCTCAAACTAAAAATAGTTTTCCAATTTATAAATAACTATTCGAAGTATAATAAAAAATGGTAAAATACTTAAATCAAAAATGTTTTTATAAGAAAAAAATACTCATTATATTAATAATAATTATATATCTGTAACTTTGTCTATTAATAAATAATTTATTAAATTACTAAATAATTCACATCAGTTATTCTACACAATTACATAAAAAAAAAAATTGTTTATGAATTAATTATACTATTTGTATTAAAATATATTTGTGTATCAAGGTTTCAAAAAATACATTAAATGAAAGTTGTTGAAATGTACTTAACATAAGCCCGGACAAAAATCAAAACTCGTTTATGGTTATTAATATATAAAAGTATTACTTAGTCTTTTATTTCAATAATATTTTACTTTAAAATAAACGATACTTGTTATCAAAATACATTATAAATATTTTATTCCTATTTATAGTTTAATAAATATTTGGTTATAATAATATTGTTTAATATATATATATATATATTATCTAACATAATTAACGTATTATCTAATGTAATTCTAACATATAGTTAGACACATAGTATTATTAATGTGCTTAATATATTATTAATTAATTAAATATGCAAATTTATTGGGCTAATGTTAAGCTCATATAGATTTTAATTAATATAAAACTATGAAAACAATACAATTGTAAAATAAGATTTAAGGCAGAGATAAATCACCCCAATTTATTGAGGAAACATTTTAAAACAAAAACTTAACGGTTAATCAAATCGAATGAACTATTATTATGTTCAAATGTCTTTGATTTAACTTATAATATCAATATTTCGGACAAATTTTAATATCTTCAAAAATTATTATTTTAATTTAAATAATTTTTAAAGATAAAATAATTACTCGGATTAATAATCATAGGATATTATATTAAACTTTTTTTTGTATTCAAAACATAATTTACATAAAAGAAATATAATATCTATTTATAAGTTCTATACATAAATATGTGTTTATTTTTTTAAATATTTTAGTATTAAGGTAAAATTTGTTATTAACTAAAAACTTTTTACTCAAAAGTAATAATGGAGAGAAAAACAGCTGAAGTTCTTTTATTATGTGTTCATAAACTTTTTTTTGTAGAATTCATTATGAATTATGATACTACTACCATGTGCGATAAATAATTATATTACCTACCGAAAGAAATTAAACGTTTGAATAATTAATAAAGAAATTAAATCATATAAGTTGTTTTTACTGTTTTATAATAAAATGTTGAAGTTTAATTTAAATTAAATTTAACATAAGTGTATACCTAAAAAATATATAAAGAATTTGATGATTAACGGGTATAAAATAAGTTACATATTTAGTATACTATTTAAATGTATTGATATATTTGATGATATATCGACCATAATATTCACATTGGTGTTTTGGATACATTAATTTTTCTTATAAAATATAAATGTTTACTTTTATACGAGTAAGTGTCTGAGTTTTTTCAGACTAATGTTATTATTAAATCTATACATCAATATATTAAGTATTCTTATGATTATATATTTCTGGATTTAAATTAACTATTTTAACACAGTACGTAGTGCTTAAATATTTACGAAAAAATAATAAGCAACCAAGCCAATAAACCAAATACACCTATATTTCTTATAAGGAAGAGAAAATCATTGATAATAAATCGATTATAATCCATGTTACTCCATAACATTGAAAATTGTACTCACAAAAATATTGTGTATACTTTTTAGTTTAGAACAATGAATTTCAACAGGACATTTCTCATCTTGAATTATTTCTACTAATCCTAGTACATATGAATTTAGTTAAAATTTTATAATCATAATGCGTACAAGATTCTAGGCAAATGGATTTCTTATTTTAATGTCTATCTAGATCTTAAATAAGACTATGTATCATCTTCCAATCTTCCAATAATGCTCTTAATGTAATTTGAACACAGGCGGATAATATAAATAATCAAATTAATAATCGTCAATAACATTAGAAGTCTAAGGACGTTTAGAGTTGTTAAGTAGTATCATAAATTGATATTGGTTTTTCAATTCAACAATATATTTGAGTTTTACAGTATTATATAATTTATATATTAAACTATAAATATTCAACAAAAAATAATGTTGGGACCATAATTTTATATGTGATGATAGTAAAATAAATCATCACATAGATAGCTGTAAAAATAATATTCAAAAATTCAATATAATTCTGTGAATAGATGAATGTTTTAATATTAAACTTAAATATGATTTCACACAAAAAATAATTTTTGTGGAAAAATAAAAATGGGAAATTTTTATAATTTTCCATTTCTTGAATGTAACAAAATATTTAATAAAAGAGACTAAATTTGACTTAGAGGTAATGTTGAGAAGATAATATATAATTTATTTTTATCCGTTTGTCGAAATATTTTCTGTATTAATATAATAACAACGATGCAATAATATGATAACATTTTAGGGGTACGTAATGATTGCTGATGTGTATGATTATTTTATCAACAGTTAATATTTATCATAAAGAATTGCAAAGTCGAGTACATGGGATTTGGTTAACATAAGTAATATCACCTGCAAATTTAATATTGAACAACCAAGAAAACAAATATTAGAAAAAATTGAAGTAAATGCATAAGAAATAAAAAAAAACCATTTTCAATCCGTGAACATAAAGCTGTAGTAGAATATTAATAATCTTCTAGCTACTATAAAAATATTCTTATTGGTTTTTCGGTATTTTTCCGATTGCAAAGATAAGAAAAAAAAATGATACGTTTTAACATAAGTATAAAAACGATGAATATATGCTCGATTTTGATTACTTTTATGGTATGATAAATGTCTGGAAACCCATTTTTGTTCAGACAGAGTTTAAACCAATTCACGAAAAATAAACACACTTTATAGTCGAAACAATATAAGTAGATATCTTGACGGTTCCAAAATTCAAAGGTATTCAAAAGTTGATATTATTTTGTATGTAACTATCATGTTGGGTCGTAAGTTGAATGTATGTAAACCTTAAATAAATTATTTTTTTGAATAACTATTGAATAACATTTACATAACAAATTCGTGTAAATACCGATGGAATATCAGTTACAAGCATTTCTATGTGTGACTTTTTTTTATTTATACAAGTTATCGTTGTGTTTGTTGTAGAAAAAAGTAAATCGAAGTGGAATATTTTCAAATGCAATTGATGCCGAAAAAAATTACATTTTCTCTTTACTTTTCATTTTGATATATATGCAATTTTTACTAAATAATTGAGAAATATTAGACTAATTAAGATTAAATACCAAAACTCTGTTATGATATTTATATAAACTCTTATATTGTTTATTTAATCTAATATTGTAATATGTTACATTTAATATGAAACATTGATACCGTGTAAAAAATAAATAATTAAATTGAATAAATAATAAACAGAACATTTAAACGTGTTACAATATAATACGTAGTCATATGATAAAATAAGACTATTAAACGATAATTTTGAATTAGAATTATATTATATTTATACTAGTTATTTGTGAACATAACAATTCACTTTTTTCTGGGATTCAGTATGTTTTTTGAATAACAAACAATTTAAAATGTATTTAAATTTGTATTAAGACTATACAATGTTATATTTCTATAATATCTATGATTATATTAATTTTTTTCATCAGATTATCAGTTGTAAGTTTTAGAATTATACTTAAAAATCTAAACATTTTTATCATCAACTTTTTTTCGAGGCTCTTCGTTATTGTATAAACATTTTTTTTAGTAAAAGATATCAATTAAGACATTTACTTTGAAGAATTTGTCATATTAGATTTATAAATTTTTTAGAAACCGATTTTATTTGATTAATCATTAAAATATTGATTATATTAAATGTAAATACAATAAAAACTTTCGATTAAATTCGTAAAAATGACTACACTATTTTTAACGAATAACAATTTTCAATTACATTTAGATAATACATAAAAAAAATAATATAGTGCGATCGATTGGAATTATTTTTGATTACTGATACTTTAGACGAGATTTAATATTCAATAATAAATTCAACTCACTTAAATCTGTCTTGCATATCTGCTACTCGTTCTCTGACCGCTTGAATGAAATCGTCATGTCCAGCAATTTGTGACGTTACAACTGAGAACTGATGCCACTTATACCTTTCTAATATACTCAACATAGCAGCTGTCTGATGTTCTAACGAAGGCGCTAATTGAAGCTGAAGGCTAGATCGGGAAGCTCTCTGCAATCAAATATAAGTTTTTTTTTTATTTTCAATATGCTGTATACTTGAATTTTTTTTTTCGGTATATACTACTATGCCAGAAAAATATTAAAATGAAGTGGAAGGAAATATTATAGAGAAATATTATCTGTCAGCCGCACTCAATAATTCTATGTAAAAATGGGTTTCGTCGGTAAAAAGAGGAAATGCATTACTCCTTTTACCAGCGTCGCCGTTGAATACTATATATATATCCCATGTAGGATTTTTTTTTTTTTTAATAATACAGATTAAAGTTTCTTCTGCATCAATATATATATATATATTAATAAATTTCGGGTGGTTTACAAAGTTTAATAAAATTTAGTTATGGTAATTTGGTATTTCGAATTTATTTTTCCAGTGAACCTATTATCGATGGTTTGAATAATTCTAAAACGTGCGTGTTACACTATAACTCAGTTAGGTCTAAGCTGTCGTAGCATACAGATTTGTTATCGTTACCTTTCGCAGTCAGTGTCGAATATTACTTGTTTTTTCAGTGTTATTTAATTAACATCACGCGATAACGTGCTGCGTTCAGGCTTATGTCATCCACCTCGGGTGGATCGGGCCAAATGGCCACCTCTAAACCGAAAATAAAAGTGAATCTCCAAAACAGTAATAAATTCGATTCCACCAGAAGCATTGTTACTTTTATTATTACTTATAATTATTTTTCAAAACGTATTTTGCTAGTATCATTATTTAGTTAAAACATAGTTTTTAAAACCATATTTATTCATTTGTTAGTTAATATCTTTGCACGGTTTTACTAGACTAATATGATTTTCTTTTTATACATTTTACTTCGATGTATATAATCTTAGTCCAAATGGATTTTGTTTATGTCATGTTTATTTTATTTTTTTAATATCTGTATAAGCACTGGGTATGGAGAATATGTTTAAGGGAGATATTCAACGCATAAAAAAAGACATACTAGGAAATGTTCTTGACGTTTCGTACAGTATTTACAATAGATCATGTGCTTTGCATATATTTACTAAAGCGTTATTTTTATCACAAAATTGTTTGAGTCGTAAACATTTAGCTATAAGTTCCGATTGCGGTATAAATAACGGTGGTATTATTATGATGGTGTATTGATGGTTGGAGGGGGTGGATATGGTGATAGATATACCTCTTCTCAAAATTATTATTTTATTACAAACATTTTTCAATAATAGTATTAATTTTATCTTCTCTAAAAGTTTGAAGTTTTTAAAAGTATGACATTACGGCAGTAAAATATATTTTATCTTAATTTTATTTATCTTGATTTAACTGCATTATTACTAAAAATATTGTAATTTTTTGGTTTTCGAATAATTGGTAAATATATACCCACCATCGAAAAAAATACGTCACAAATACGTTGCTGTAACTGACCAAGTAATCGTGTATTGTTATTATTGGTTAGAAAAAATTAATTGTTCATGTTGTGAAGTAAGTTTAAAACATTTGTTTGAACTACAAAATATTTACTATGTAAATACGCATTGAAAAAAAAGGAAAAAAAATAGAAAATCGATGGTGATCAATTGACATATGTTTTGCGTAACAAAAACTGAAAGAGACTATTACATATCACGCGCATGCGCCCGTGAGTGCCAAAACCCACAAAATTGATGTGCATTATCGATAATATCGTTCGAAAAGTGCAACATGGCAATTTAATATTAAAATATGTAATACGTGACACCGTATATATAAAGCAACTAATAAATCATGATGTAAATTTCTAAAACCTTTTCTCGGATAAAATGACAAAAATTGAATTAATTGAGTTATATTTGCTTACAGGAAAGAAAATATAAGCTTACTGCGTTCGTTTGCCGAGAAAATACTATGTAATTCGACTTTCCACAAATAGTTGAACTTTTATTAGCGCAATCGCATTTTTATGTAAACATATCAGTACATTTTGATGATATTGGTATGCACAATAGGAAAATTCGAATAAATATCGTTACGTTTAAGGAAACAATTTTAAAAAATTTCTTCCTGAAGAAGAATATTATACGACAAAACGTTTCGGAGGTGAAAACGATTGCACTGTATGAGTCAATATCGACATTATTAATTATTTTTTGCCGTTGTTGCAGACGTATTATAATATTATAATCGATTCTTGATAACTCGAAGTTTACGGGATAAATATAATTTGACAGTCTAAAAATTTCTAGTTATCAAAAACTTCAAAATGTATGTTTTATATAGTATTTTATGTAAAGTTTATATATTGTAAGTTTTTAAAAGTATGATTCTATATTAGAGTTTTTTACGATTTTCTGAGTTTTTATTTTAGTTTTTTTAAAATTACATCTTTATTTTTTATTATTATAGACAGCGTACTCGTTAGAATTCTAAAATCTTAGGTTATTTCTTGTTTTTTCTTTACGTCTTTTTTAAAAATTTGAAGTACTTACTTTGGAAGCGATAATATTCTTAATTTTTTATTTTGAGCCATAATAGCACCTGTTTTCAGCCACTGTCACTTACATGATGGACAATGAACGAACTATCTGATGGAAAATAACTAAAACCGAAATATATTGCACGGAGTTATCAAGTATGAGTTACTAATAGCCGTCTATAATAGATGAGTTTCACAAAAAGTTATTTGAAAAATAATCTCAGTGATAAACTATTTTAGTACTTTATTTTGATGAGAACATTTGAGATATTGAAAATTTATTTCAATTCATTTTCGAGTTAACAGAAATATTTAAACTTTAATTATTATTTTTATTTGGAGGAGAATTTTATTTATTCGAAATATGGAGTTTTGATTAATCAAGGTTCGAGTTATCAAGAGTCGAATTTAATATGCTTTTATGAGGCAAAATCAACATAGTTTTGTCGGCGACTGTCTAATTGATATACTGTATGCATATACAATGTTGTTTGTGACGGTTTGCCGTTAGGTTAGGATAAAAACTCGATTGCGAGTAAGAAGAATACTACCGAATGTTTTTAGTATAGTTCAATATATAGTTTATAAACTATATATACAAAATACTTTATAAAATAATATATATATATATATATAATATATAATAACTATATATACAAAAAATAGTTATAAACTATATTTTGAATTATTATTAAGAAAATTATATTAAGGATTATTCTTAGAAACCACAACCATCTAAAATCTGAATAATTTAATTGTTTTATTGCAATATATATATATATACATTTATAAACATATATATATATATATTATTTCAAAATATCTTTTTCGACACTATTTATGTGCCAAGTACAGTTAGTCATACAATTTATTCTTTAAAATAAAAACGGAGAATATTTATTTGTTTGCATTTATTAATTAGTGTTGTGGTAATAAATATTATGGTAACCAATTGTTTTCTTAATTATTATTATCTATTTGAAATTTAAACTATCATATTTATAAAGAATTATCGTTATTATTTATTATTTATTATGCATTTGTTCAAAAATGTATATTCTAAATATAGTTGAATATTATTCATAGATATTCTAGAACTTAAATAAAAATAATAGTATCTGTTCAAAAAAATTTTCAAAATATTACATTCAAATGATGGACTGACGTAGGATTATTAATCATTTATAAATAAGATATTGTAAATTATTTTTACTTAAAAAAATATTTTGTTTTTTTTTATCGTTACTTTAATTTCTCATTTTGGTACCTATTGTTGTTTTTTTTTTTAGTATCAATCGAAAACAAAACTCGTTGAATATTCCGTATTCAACATAATACCTACTTACAAACGTTAGTATATAATATATATATATATGATGACGATTGTTCTACAGAGTTTCATTCGATCATATCCAAGATGGAAATCTACATCGTAATCATATATATGCGGTTGTTCAATGGTGGTAGGTGAGGATTAAGCATAATTAGTAGTAACTTAATAGCTGCCTGACCCGAATTTACTCAACTATACTAATGAAGGAAATCAAACCAAATTTCCCCATTAAAACAATAATAAATGTAATAAAATTGCAATTAAATAATTTGTACGAACATTTATTGAAATGCTTTAAAAACGCAACGTACGATTGAAATACGTTTGAATTTCTAACTGCTCATATGAAATCCATGAAAAAAAAAAGTTTATTCCATGCAATTTTAACGATTGACTTCTTTTTCTTCTTCTTTGGCTTTTTACAGACCTTTTAGGCCCATTGCCGCAACAACATATTGTCTCCATTTTTCTCTGTATTTTTCCATTTATTCCACATTCCGTACTCCCAACTTGTTCAGGTCTTGTTTTATTCTATTTTACCGCCTTTATCTGGGTCGTCCTCTAGGTAATTTTGCGTTTGGTTTTCATGCAGTTATGTTTCTAATTAGTCCTTTTGATCTCCCCACGTGTCCGGCCCAGCTTATTCGACCGCTTTTCAAGGTTCCAAAAATGTTGGGTTCATTATATAGTTCTTCTAAGTTTTTATTGCTTTGTATTTCATATTCTCCTTCATTGTTTTTCTTTGGGCCAAATATTTTCCACAATATCTTTCTCTCAAAAATTTCCAACTTTTTTTCGTCTGATTTTGTTATCACTCAAGTACTGCTTGCATACATAGCTACTGGTTTGACTAAAGCTTTATATAATGTTACTTTGGGTTTTCTTGATAGTAGTTTTGACTTAAACAATGGTAGTAATTTGTATTAACACCTGTTTACTGTGATGAGTTGTAGTTTAATTTCTTCGTGGCTATTAACATCTTCATTAATATCTGAACCCAAATATCTAAAATGTCCTACATTTTAAAATGTGTATTAATTTACTTTTAAGGAGTCTGTTTTGTGATTTTGTCTAGATATTATTTTGTCTTTGTTTCATTCATTTTTAAACCAATTTTTTCCCCTTCTTCAGCAAGATATTTACTGTGCTTTTAGCTCGTTGTCTGTTTCAGCTAATACGACTATATCATATTTAACGATTGACATTGTGGCTTATTAATCGCCATGGCAAATTCAAGACGCATCTGAAACTAGACTTGCTTAATTTTAACAAAAAAGTCATTTGTAAATTTTAGTATTCTTGGAATCAGCATATTTTCGCCTTTGAAATTCCCTATAATTATATTTGCTTCGATCACAGTGTTTAACAACTTTTTAATAGCGAGTCATGTTCCATTGCATAGTTTTGGTTGATTCAGATTGCGTAGGATGATTATCACCGAGTCAACATTGAGCTTTGTTTGATGTCATTTCTGGAAAATCCAACGAATTTAGAAAATAAGTTGGATAATTAACGACTTAATTTGAATCGGTAACGGAATCGATGGACTTAAATGAATGAAATTGGCTATTGATTTCACTCAACATTTTTATATTCAAATCGTCTACCTTATATTTGCTGCTGAAATGGTTCGTTCACATGTAACAATAATGGTTTTATAATTTTCACCGATATTTGGAAATCCTTTTGTTATCAATTTTCCCTATGACGTTGTGAATTGATAAACATTTGGAGGAAATAAAATCTGTGAAAGTATTGATTGTAATTTTCTCATTGCCAATGTTTAGTTGTTCCTTTGAAAAATTCTCCTGCCGAATTGTCATTTTGTACGAACATTCGCATATTTGTATTTAACTTGAGAATTTTCACATTTTTTACAAATTGTATGACTTAAAGCAATTATTTCATCAAAAGCTGTTGATCTGGAAATCAATCAATCTGTCAATATGTTCTAAGAATTTCCTACCTAGAACCTACTGTATTCATTCACATTTTTATATAAAGATGTATAAACTGAAATTGTTCACTTTTCCGTGCAATTTTTCAAATACTTTCATTCATACAAACCTTGTCCTAACAATTACAAGTACATCAAAAAAACAAATAAGTCGAATAGGTGCAGCCATTTTGAAGTGATGCGTGGATAAACATTTGTGGAAATTGATTTTTATTTATATAGATTGTTTGTTTTTGTTAAAATAAATACATTTTTTTATAGGTTATGTGTAGATCAAAATTGTATATAAATATATAATAATAATATACTGCTCTGGTTAATATCAAAAAATATTGAATTTATACTAGCATTTACGTTTTTATCTTTGATAAAAGTTATAGTAATTTATTTTGATAAAGAAAAAAGTTGAGTTATTGAAAATACGATGCACACATATAAAAATCCTTACTCTAATTATTCGAATAGTATCTAAATGATAATTAAAAAATTCATGGATTATTATGCAATTTAAATGAAAATTTGTTTTCATTGATTGTTATTATAGAGTTTTATTTAACCATAATTAATATAAAATCAAAGACATATTATCAACCATATTATCTTTAAATATATTACTTGAAATACTTGTATAATAAGTATAATAGTAATATTTCATATAACTTTTTATACTATTATATATTTTTAAAAATTTTATATTCATAAATATTCTTATCCAAGTAACGTTTCGGCTTAAGTTTAAAAATCAAGATCGCATTATATTTGTAATATGGTAAAAATGACTTATACCGTTGAATGCATTAATTTTTATACAAAATCTATTAACCAGAAATTTTCATCAGAACTGTTGCATCTAGAGAATGCCGAACAATTATGAAGAGTTGACGATTTGTTCGAAAAGTGTTTCATATAATAAAGGATTGTTCATTCATAAAACCGTAATAATATTAAAGCATAAAAATCCGTAACGAAGAGATAACTTTCTTCAGTATGGTTTCTCAGTTTCTGTACACAAATTCTATTTATTCTTTTTTGCTTGTTAAATTATATTTTAGATTTCGTCCATTAATCTACAGCTATTTTAGTATTATTACCCGTTCGAGTCCAGAGTTGTCAGCATTCCACGCTATAACCGGTATTCCTAAATATCCGGCTAGTTGTAAAAAGTATTGCGCTGACGCTGTACTTCGGCCATACTTTTCGTAATTCATCAGGTATAATATTGCGGACACGTTCATGGTAAGAAACTCTTTGCACAATGAATCCAATATGGCTGTAACATAAAAAAGTGCTTTACTATTCAATTGCATTATAACTTAGATCAACAGTATACACAATAAGTAAACATAATTATTAATGTTTTAATACACATCAATGTACATTTCTAAGTTGGTTGATTTTTATATTTGTTAATTTACCAAACACAGTATTGAACCAATATATGATAAAGAAACTAATTGACAAGTACCTAATTATGATCATGCTCGAGAATATTGCTGTATATAATTCAAAATAATACACAGGTAGTTCATAATAATTTATTCGATTAACTGACATGGATTAGAGTAAATCTTCTCATCCATTTGTGTAATGTAAAGAGTAATACTTTGATATTATTCGAAAGAAAAATTATTGTATTTCCTTTTTTTTTTATGATTAATTTTTTTCCTAACTAGTCAATTAATTTTAAAATATAATATATAATACTTTTTATAAATCAATATTGTTGTTTCAAAACGAATAAATATATAAACAAACGATCATAGTAAGCTTGATAGAATATATATATTTTTTTATATATTTATAGTTAAAATTTACGTATTAAAAACTACCTCACGTTTAACACAAATACATTTTTTTTAGATTAAATTCAATCCTTTTTAATAAAATAGAATATTGACACATATTTTTAATTTATTTTAGAAATTGTGTTCTATATTTTTTAGATTTTATTTAAAGAATATGTTATGCTGGATGATTATTTGCTTTTTACTACTCATAAATAAAAAAGAAAAAGATCTTTATCAAGGTTACGAGTTTTGCAATTTTAGAAAGTAATTAAATAAGGAAGATATAAGATCAAATGAAAGAAAATATAAGGTTAGATATAAGAAGATAGGAGATGGAGACTATGGCAACATGTTAAGTGCAGATGCAAGATGGCAATGCCCGAGAAAAAGAAAGAATAAATTTTTTGATAGCGATCAAGAGCGAGAAGATACTCGAGAAAAATTGATTGAAATCGTAGAAAGAATTTTATGCATTTTTTCATAGGCGGAAATATTTAAAAGTGAGTTTTGTTGGTATTGTTAAAATTAGAAATATTAGTTACTATAAACAATTTCTTTAGGTTAGATGTTCAAAAAATGTATTTGAATAAAATATTTTTGTTTATAGCTTAGGTATAAACGGTGAGTAAGTTGTCTATATTGAAATATTCTAAAATGGATACATACAATACCAATAAAATTTCTCTTGAAATATCTATATATTTAATGTCCAATATTTTCAGTTACAGAAGTGGAGAAAATCTTAAGGATAGCACTTTTTTTTAATCTTATGTAGGTTATAATTATAGACGAACAATAGACTTATTTGTAATTATTTGTATGTATTTGAAAGAAACAATAAATTGATTAAATATAAAAAATCATGAGTAAAACTGGTTCACGGATAAACTATTTTAAAATGTATAAGCTTATAAAAAAAATAATTTTTTTTTAAGAAAGTATGTATGAAGTTTAAGTTATAACCATAAATGGCTACTTGTTACTTGTCTTCTAAAAGTGTATTTTTAAAATTTTTCTATATTTTAACAGCTTAGATGCTTTAAAGTGAAGCTATATTTATCATTATTAGATTATTTTAATTTTATAAATTCACCCTGAAAATAACCTATGTGATAGAAATGTGTATTCATAATAATATATAAAGACAGGTAATTTATTCGGTTACTAACGTTGTTTTGTATATCCATTTATTTCATAATTAAATATTTATTTATTTATACATATATACAGGAGAAGTCCAAAAAAACAATTTATTATATTTATAATATTATATAATACAAGTTTTGGTGTGATATGTAGTATTAAGATAAGGAGGAGTCGCTATTTGCTGTTCTTATAATATTAATACTATATTACTGTTTATCAACAATATTTTATGTTTACAGATATTATTATCATACCTTTCGCTTATAATTTTTGCTGGTAGTTTGTTTATTTCGGTATGCATTTTTATAATTTTAGAAAATAAGTATTTATAACATTGATGAGTAAACTGCGTCCTTAGTTTTCGGTTACAATTTAGAACACAAAAGTATCATTCCATTTATAGAAGCTTTATATTAAAATGTCATATATTACAATAAATAAATAATATCATAGAAGATATAATTTAAAAATAATAAATAATGAGAATATAAGTACTAATATATATATACATACACGTCATAAAAATCATAACAGTTACATAAATTGTGTAAACGAATTTAAAGTATAATTATTTATAAAATTTTTTTCTATTTTTTTAACACCAATATGAGTAAGAAAATAAACGCTAAATATGTTAGTCAATAAAAGAAATTAAGAATTTGAAATTGGAATTGTTTTATCCTTTTCCAAGCAGCACTTCCGAAATACATTATACAGGACCGTTCTTTTTATATCTCTCTGGAATATTTACACGATAGGGTTTCCGAAAATTGGCTGTATCAAGGACTCTTGATGGGCTCTTACATTTTCTGGTCAAACATCAGATATATAAGTAAATTTTCTACATGCCAACAGATACAATTTACAATGTAGTAAATTGTAATAATTACAATTATACAAAGATTTTGCAACAACGTAAGAGAAATATTCGTTGGTAATGGTAATCAAAAGTATTATAATTGTATTTTTATACATATAAAAGTTTGATAAAAAAAAAATAAATTACTAACTAGGTATATATTTTCATTTAATTTATAAATTTATAAATTTATAAAATAATTAAATTATTCCCCCTTAATTATTCTATCCGTAAAAATTACGGTTTTACGAAGTAAAGCTTACAATCACTAAATGTTGAATATATGAAAATTTATCATTTTATTCACGGTTCTAAACAAAACAATTTTGGTGCATTTAGATCGTCTCAGAAAAAATAAGGAATTACTAGTTGAAAACTTTTTTTTGTTATAATATAATTGGATTTACAAACTTATTTTATGAAAACAACGGTATTGTTTATTCCTACTCAAGGATTCAAGGACACCCGAACATATGTTCACATGCAAAAATACATATACTATACAAATCACTTAAACAAATATTTTAAGTACTTGTTAAGAATTTGTTTTTTGATAGAAATATTTTTAAATCTTTTCAAATATTGAGGATATTTATTTTAAAACTGAGATATTTATAATAATACATGAATTTTAAAGTAGTATTTATATTATAAAATACATTATTAGCTTGTAGGTTAAGGATTATGAAATTGATATAAATTAAATTTATTTTACGGTTTTTTATAAATTATTTTTTTTTAAATTCCGTTATTATTAATTGAACTTTGTTATTTTAGCTATCATAATGTTCCAAGAAAATTTGTATTGCTCATCAAAACATTTTTAACATCTAAAAGTTGATTAAACTTTCAAATATTTAAGTGAAGTAGAAAAACAAGAATTAAATTTACCTATTCTTATCACGTATTTTCTTCTTTTTTCTGGAGTTTAGCAAAAAAATAATAATTATGAGCACCCAAAGTAGAGTGGATTATTTGTATTTGGTCATGTATTTACTAACAATATAAAAATAAATCCTTTTTAAAAGTGCTTATATTATAAGCATTGTTTATTGCATTAATAATATTTATAATATTTTATCCATTATCTTAAATTATTACTGGGTAATTATAGTTTCTAGAAGTCAGATAAAATTAATTTTCTAACTCTCTTAAATCTTTATTGTATATACTTTTTTATATTTTACTGTCTTAACTTTTTAATATATATGTGTGTGTATTTTTTCTATCAGTTCATCTTAATATATTTTTATTTTTAATGAATAAATATAATTCCTTAAACAGGTTTAGTCGCTAGATTAATTATCTTCTGTTCCATTTTTAAATTTATTTTTACCATAGTATCTTAAGCTTTATGAATATTTTATATATTTTTATCAATAATGTAAATATTAAATCGTATTTTATTTTTGAAATACGTTTTAAATTAGAATAATGTACTTGCTTTTTTGTAATTTCTACCACATGTCCACATCAAATCATACATTTATAATCAAATCGTGAGTTTGTCTGTTTGACGTATGAAAATCATACCATTCATCGAAGATATAAACCATAAATATAAATTACAAAATAATTGTGAAATACTGATAGTAGAGTTTGGCTGTTTCTCGAATTTGATATTACATGACTTCTTTTATTTTTTCATCGTAAATAAACTACCATACACAAATTAATTTTGAATGATATGTGATGATGAATTTAATTAACAATAAAAATTAAATTAATATTATTAAATGGTTAATACTCATAAATTAATGTAAAAAAAATGCAAATATTCCTAAGATTATATAATATAATTATGTAATTATATATATATATATATATATATATATATATATATATATATATATATTTATATAATTACATAATAATATAAATTTATATAAATTTAAATTTAAATGTAAATTTATATTATAAAATAATTTTTTTTTTTAAACGTACCGGAAAACGTACAACTTTTTTTTCGTTTAATTATAAAATATCTCATACATATATAATTTCTTGCAACCAATAATTATTGTATTATTGGTATTATTTGAATTTTTTTTGTTTGACTACTTGAATTGTTGACACATGTATATAGTATATATACATATGTATATATGTATTACAAGAAAAGATAATAAAAATATATACTAAGTAGTGACTTTATTTTACTAAAAATTAATTAAATTTATTAAATATGGATTCAGGAATTATTCGAGAGAATATTTCTCTGACATTAAGTATATTTTTAATTATTTAATAAACAAACCAATATTTTTGTATCTACAAAATAATGTTCTTAATAAGTGAACTTTATGTGTAATATAACACACAAATTATAAAACATAACAGCTTTTTTGGTTACTTAAGAAGTACTATTATATAAATATAATTATTATTGAATGAATTATGTTTAGATATAAATATTTACTTATTTGAGTTATACAATGTTAGTTAAGTCAAACTCTTTGCAATAACTACTTGAATGAT